GTCCTTTTTATTTTTATCAACGTCCAAATTACCAATTTTTTGCATTCGAACTATTTTCACAAAGTACTTGTTGTTTACAACAAAAACATAATTATATTTAAACTACAAGCTAAATAAGGAACAAGACGTCATAAAATAAAACTTTTTTGTCAAAGAGAAAAGTTTGATTAACGGATGTAAGTAGTTTATAAAATTTTACGATTATAAAACTCTTTATTGAGATATCTATCACATTTACCACTTGTAGAAAATGAAAGTAAGATATTATTTTACGATATCCTCTTAGACTTCTCTCGCTGGTAAAAAAAGTATCAATGCAGCGTTATTACCCACAGTGTGGTGAAAGGTCGTGGTCATTTAAAACCGTTTGTCTCTATATGATCTTTAAGTTTCCATCTTCTAATCCTTGCAACATTCCTACAGAATTCGTTAAATGTACCTAATTAGGTGTAAGTTCAAAGAGAAACTATATAAATAATTGGTAGCAGTTTTAACTCAAACCTGAAAAATCTCTGGAAATTGGACATAATTATAAAGTATAACAAATCAATAATTTTATTACTTCAACAATTACCTACCACTTTCCTTGTCCATATGCCTGTCTTCCAGCACCTAATCACCGTATTTCCAATCTCACCTTCTCATTTGAACTTGAGACAGATCCAAATGGACAACAAAGCCTATGTCGATACAAATTATAGCAGTGAAAGTAAAATATTATTCAATGTGGCGAGTAAAAGTGGTGAATGTTGGGCAGGGCCTCATCAGATGAACGTAATTATTCTTACGTTTTGTGTAGACCGGCAACCTTTCGAATAGTCAGATGACCGCAACCGACCTCCCCTTTCAGTCCTAGCGAAAAAATTAAAGCAGAAATGATAACCTAAAGGAGAAAGACGTGTCAAGAACGGTCAATGATCATGATACTCGAATTAAAATTTTAATGATTTTACGTCAGAAGTGATTGTCACGGTCACCGTCCAAATTATAAATGTAAAACTCAATCCTCTGCTGAGCACGCCAGAAGCCGTATAGACATTCACTTTTAATTATAGCAATCACCATCTCTTTAATGATTTTTTTAAGCGGCATTGTTAGCTGGAGTGGCTGAACCTGAAAATTTAAGCGTTTTCAAGTGCTGCGAAGTTGTGGACAGATTAGTTTCGTAGAAACGTGGACTTTCTACTGCGTTAGCTCGAGGAGGATTTGTCACGATTTGTGGATTGACAAAGATTTCGGATTTACGCTTGTTAAAATATTGACGCAGTTAATTGTCGCAAACAGTAATGGCATTTGCATGAGTCGGCACTACTTTACTATTTTCATTATATCATTTTTTAATGGAGGACTTTCTCTAAAAAAAATTATACGCACGTAGACAGACGTGAGGTTGTTAGAAGTGAAAAATTACGCAACTTAAATGTATCAAATTAAATACGTATAAAATACTTTGTCGTCAAAAGATCCGTGCAAATTAGTCACGATTGCTTTCTAATTTTATTAACAACGGTCTACATTTCTCTGCATATTAAAGATGGAACAATAAGAAAAAATATTAACTGGGTCCATTTAACAGAAATCCCGTAAAAAAACGACTAGAATGTATGGCGTTCTAGAAAACATGGTCCGGTAATTCCACCCATAAATATGCTTATTTTAATATCCATCTTCATTGTAAACTGAATTAATAAATCTTCATTATCGCACGGTTCGTCGCTTGATCGAATATTGATGTCTCCAAATAAACTCTCTTCAAAAATTATTATTGACAGCGCAACAACGACATTGACCATACCTCGCTCTTGACCTACCGTAATTTATATGCCAGCAACTAGAAGTCCGGTTCCTCAGGTTTTATTAATTTGTTTATTTTCGAAGTGTCAGTGACGAGGATACAGTTTGATAGATAAAAACGCTCTGGAATGGGTCACGCCCGAAACAACTGATTGCTAATTCGGCAAAAAAAGCGAGGAAAGTTCTATCGCAATCGTAGGCTTAAATAATTTCATTTCAGTCGTTTTAATTTCTAATTTCCATTAATTATTCTAAGTGTTAAAAGAAAATTTATGAGAGTAACGCTATTAGCACCTTTCTGTGAAAAGTCGGTTCAAATAATGTTTGCAGGTGTTTAATTAAAATCGGGATTTTTGTGCGTTTGGTTTGTTTAAAAATAAGCTTATTAACCGAAAGTTCGTATGGCAAAAATTATAAAAATTTCTCTGACCTTGACCGAATCGAATAAAAGCTCAATTATGGCCATAATGATGTTAATTTGAACGTGAGAAGCTTCTTCTTTCTGCAGGCTATGGAAATGCACGTTTTCTAATTAGTCAGATAAGAACATGGTTGTAGACATGCACAGCATATGGAGTTTCCAATGAAATAAATTCTAACCTAAACTAGTTAATCGTTGTACGGATATTTTGCAATTAAGGCCTACAAGATTTACTTCAAATTTTGAAGTTTGTAATAATACGTATATTAAATTTTGCAAAATTCATCAAAAATTTGAATTATAAATTTCTAACTTATATATGTTCTTAAACAAAGAGAATTTATTTACAGAATACGTTTGTATTTTCATAAATTAACAATATTTCGCTAAAGTGGAATTAGTTATGTGTCACTCCATGTTACCATCGAACTAATTTAACAGAAGTTTGCTTCTCGTTGCTAAGCATAATTTTATTCGAATTTCAAGATCATTTTTGTAGTTTGAAAAAAAAATGTTCATAGGATAAATTTATTTAAACTTTGCTTATCAAAGAATTATTCCTTAAAGATATTTTTTTATAAATAATACGCCTATAAATTATGAATATAGAAACAACTGTGATAAAATGTTCATTTTTTTAAGGAACCCTTTGTAAATAATTATAAAAGAGTACAAAATATGAAAAAGATTTTTTTGACATTTTCTGATGCAGAATAAAAAACTAATTTCAGAAATTATCAACATGTTTATTTCTATTGATACAAAAAATCAAAAAAATCACAAAAGAACACCTAATGTTGTACAATCACGTCATCTTTGAAATGATAATAAATAATAAACTATGAGTGGGAATACTATAAATGTTCAAAGTGTTCTCAAGTATGATCAACAAAATGTCTCAATGAATTATGTATGATTATACATTATTAGGTGTTTTTTTTTGTGTACATTTTTTTCAATTTTTGATAATTTATGAAAGTAGTTTTTTTCTGCTTCAAATAATGTCAAAAAAATCTGGGTTTGTCATTAAAAAAAAAGTAGGCGGCTCTGTCTGTCAAACTGGCAAATTTCAGAAAAAAAACTTTTCAAAGAACAAAGTTATTCGATCGTTCCGCGACTTTATACTAACCCTGTATATAAAAATATATTACAAAACAAAGACAATATAATTTTAATTACATATTATTATTTTTCAATAATCTCTAAATTGAAGTTAAAGCTTTGTCAAAATTTTAAAAACTCCTTGAATATTTTTGAATTACATCATAAAATGTGACTGTTCAAACTTCAAAGATTTTTTTAAAATCTTACACCTAGAGGCAGAAACAATGACGATTTATTAAACGATAGAGAAATAAAGAGAATGTCACTGAGCACATTTCAAGTAAGATTTACGTGTAAGATTGTGAGATGACGTCATTAAATTTTTGAAAGCAATGACTAGACGAATTTTATTTAGCGTTTTATCATTAAGAATAGACGATATGTTAAAATATTCTTAAAAATTTAGCGTAATCGATTCAGTAGTTTCAGAAATTAATTAATAATTTTATTATTTAGGAAATGGTGAACTTTGGGAAAACTAAGAACGTGTTGTCGCAAAAACAATGATTAACTTTCAACATTAATTCAAAATTTCAGACCAGTGCTTAATTTTCCGCAAAAATGTCTTTGAAGTTTTAATAAATTTGTGTTGAATATTAAAGACAAGAAGAAAAATACAAATAAATAAAAAAAATGTAAAACAAAAAAAAAAAACAAAAATAGCTCATCAAGTAATAAGGTTAAGAAACAGGATATTAAAAACTAATCATTGACCGGAAGAAAATTGTTTCAGTTTTACTTAATTTTCAGCTACTTTTCGTGTCAAAAATTACCAATTGCTTATAGTATAATAGTTACACTTCAGCATGTACTTACTGTCTGTCAGTATATAAAACGATTTTAATAAAATTAGAAATTATAGTCATTTAGATATAAACTCACTTAGAATTTTAAAATCATGATAAACAAAAAAATCTATTATGAAGGCAGTAGAGCATAAACTGGAATGATAGATATTTGGTTGTGTAAACAGCTATGAATATTCATCTTGTTATTTTTTTGCGTTCATATATTATACTTCTAAAAATCACCAATGTTGATATCAAAAAACAATCACAAAATAACTACTCTACAAGTTCTGATTTTATTTATTATTCTGACCGAAATTTTTGACTACACTGAAAAAATAAAATACTCATCTCTAAACAACTCATTGTTAACAGAGTTTAATTTATTATTATATTACTGTTATTATAAAAAAAAACCAAGAATATTCAGATAATAATAAAGACTTACGCCGATAGCTTATTAACAAATAAAAGCGTTCAAAACCTCAATTAAACTAATGTTTGCACCATTACTGTAAATACGTCAATTACAACGTTCAAACGCTTCTTCCTGACATCAAATCAATTTAATTTACCTTAACGAATCACTAACAATCGGAATTGCATGTCTAAATTGAACGAAAATGAATGCTTAGATTCTTCATTAAAATAATGAATTATACGGTAGATATGATAATGTATGCAGCTTATGTGAACACACGAACAGCTCAAACTCAACTAAAACACGAAAAATGCATCAAAGATTCATCGCTGAAAAAACGACTTGTTCAGGACCGGAACCAGAATTTCGGGAGATGGTTCTAAAGCGCAGGAAACAGCGCAAGATTCAGAGGGGATGCAGTGAAAGTACCTTGACATTGTTAAGTATATAAAGTCCGGACTCCCCAATTCATTCATCAGTCAGTTCAACTGCATTAATCTTCCTTCATTTCATTTACACACCAAACCCAAGCAAGTGTACAATGAAGTCCTTTGTAAGTTTCTTTGTTGATAATTTTTCGTGCTAAAATACCGAGTGATTATAAATTACCAGGAATAGTTTAACTTTGGCGGTTCATCGACCAACTTAAAATAATTACTCTGTATTGTTAATTAAACTGTAAAAGGCTTTGTGAGTGGCTTTGACCTAAATGTGGATGTATCGAACCCGAAAAGTCATTGTAAAAGTGCAGTCTAGGTCACGGTTACTAAGCTGTTGCATGTTATGTAAACTTTCACGATTGCTTTCTACATTTTTTTTCGTTTTGTTCCAGGTATGCGTAGCACTCCTTTGCGCTTTGGCGACCGTAAATGCTGGATATGCGGGCAGTTACGGAGGCCATGACGAAGGTGGCCACGATCTCTCTCATACTGTAGAAATCCACAAACCTGTACCAGTACCCATAATCAAACAAGTCAGCATCCCTATCCCTCATGCAGTACCAGTACCAGTTCCCAAACCAGTAGCAGTACCAGTACCACAGCCTTATCCCGTCCACGTCCATGTACCTCAGCCCGTCGCTGTCCCCGTCATCAAGACCATCACCGTTCCCGTCGAGAAGCCAGTACCATTCAAGGTAGAAAAAGAGGTACATTACCACGTGGAAAAACCAGTGCCAGTCCCAGTGGAGAAGCACGTGCAGATCCCCATTCCCAAACCAGTGCCCGTTAAGGTGCCCGTCTACAAGACCATCTACCATCACAGCAAGCACTGATCCGAGAAAAGGCTGTTACCATCATCGCTCATCCTCATAGTCATCCTTCATTGTTGTTTTTGTTATTGTTGTTTTATTTTTACTAAATTAAATAAGTTTTTCTAATAGTTTGGCGTTTTCTTAATCTACTTTCAGTTATCGTACGATTATTTTGGAAATTAGATCACGTGAGAGGAATCGATATAGTTTTTACTCATTTTTTACAAAAACTACTTTCTCCGCTAATTGGAAATGGCTCGAAGAAGTGTGAGGTTTGTTTGGTTCTTGAATATTTCGCGATTTATAGAGCATAGAGAAAAGCTAAGGTTAATGGCAGTCGTTTGAGAGAGCCACTGGCGGTAAATGTATACAATAACCCCAAAATCAAAAACTGACGGTCTAGTAGTAAAAAGAAATCAGAATTATCATTTTTAATAAATTCTAGAGAAATTTGATTAATTGGAAAAAACCGTTGACCGAAAGTATGTAATTGTGATTATATGCCTGTTATTAAGATAATGAGGTTGTTGTTACACATTTATAATTAAGGCGGATTAGGAATTTTCAAAAATAAATTATGGATGCATCATTTATTATTTAAATTTTGGAAGCAGTGATGCTGATGACAGCCATTAAAATTTTATTAGAGTCTAGTGGGTGCACAGTAGTGTATCTAGTACAGAAATAAGTGCATAAAAAGTTTTTCTAATACTAATAAGACGTACATAATTAATAGATCAAAAATAAACTTGTCAATTTTTTTAAAATAATTGTCGTTTAAGATATTTCAAAAATAAATTAATAAAGTTAATTACCTTAAATATAAAATATTTATATTTATAGACACAGATAAAGATGTCGTCCATCGTTCGTAGCTATAGACAACAATGAACAAAGTTGAGCGTAAATTTAATTGCATAGCTTACACCTCTAGCACTTCTTTATGTCGATTTCTAGCTTATAGTGTGTTACCTACCACTCATGTGCACACAGATGTCGATTTTATTAGTGTTCGAACTTCCGGACCTCTGACGAAAAATATTGTCAACAGAGATTTTTTTTAGAAGTTTTTTTAATTCTGGGTTGATCTAACGACCAAAGAAGTCTTATTTAAAAATGAATGGTTTAAGTAGTAGGTAGTTTACATGCATTGATGTGAAAACAACGTTAACTTTCTGGCAGCATCGGATTTGAAAGTTGTTTTCCGGTTACACTCCAATCCACATTTAGTGGTCAAGTCCATAAAAAATGAATTTTTATAAAAAAAATCGCGGTAGTGTTGCTAATTCGTTACAGGTACTTCGAATCCAAAAAAAGCTAAACTGTGCTGACGTTAGCTTCAAATTAAGATTTAGGTTCATTTTACATTGATTGGAATTTGGGCCAGCAAAACTCAAATATAAATCCAGATCTAAATCTAACCTCAGCCACATTTATAACGTAGTTAAGTTTAAGTAAATGATGATAACGTATCTTTTAAATACTCCCCTTCGTATTGTAATTTTTTGGGACAAATCTAAACTTATCCGGACGTTCCAGAGCTTCACCGGTGCAGTTAGATCAAGCACGTGGTAGTAAAACGGTAAACGATGATGGTAATTTTCAGCAAAATATTATGAAAATCACTTTACCTGGCATTAATATAAATGGGTACTTTAACAGTTTGGTTACAAAGGGGAAGTCTAAAAAAATACTTATTTAACATTTTTAGAGATCGCTAAGTCAACTTCCAAAAGGAATGAATATTCAAATTTTAATTAACACGTTGTTACGAGTATTTCTTAACAGATGTTGGATTTTTAGCAATATTTTGATAGAGCCATTATGTGTCTATAAAACATAAAAAAAAACATTGCATGTTGTACCTTTCAAGTGAGGTTATCATATGTGCTATCGAAAATAAAACGAATTAAAGTTGCTTGTGAAATCAGATATAAAGATCGTATCACTATACAATTGACACATCAAAATTAAACACGTTTTTCGTTTTTCCGCTAAGCAAGAGAAATGTTTTACTTTTCTTTTTTCTTTTAATTTTGTGATGATGTCCTTATTTTTACTTTCCGAGCGTAGGATTCTTTGGGGAGTGATTACTTTTATGTTTTCACTATGTTTCATAACCCATACAATACAAAAAATAGATCTTCCTTTACCGTCTATCTGTTTTTATTAGACAGATAACCTTTGAAATTAGCAGACCGATTTTTATATTTATGTCATAAATATCGTGTAGATAGTAAAACACTAACCAAAATTTGCTTAATCATCTCCACCAACAATGTGACGACGTTTCCTCAAAATTTTTCATAGTAGGTTGAATTGAAATTTTATAAAATAACATATTCCTGTATTTGTGGTTTATGAATCTGCCTTGACGTTTTTCCGAGGCATCTAAATTTTCACAAAAAAATCCAGATTGTATAGCAACCTTTTTGTATCTACTATACAGAGGGCTGAAAAAATGGCGCACGAAGTCTATGACACATTGTCGAGAACTGTTTATGGAACAGAGAAAAAATGATTTTAAAAATTCTTCTTCAGTACTTAGTGCTCTCTAATAAAACAGTCAGAAATCAATTAGACTTCCATTATCCAAAATAATTTTGGAGGTATCTTGTTTCATCCAGAATTTTCATTTTATAATATAAAAAAAAACTTAAAAATTGACGGAAAATCAAGGAGACACAGAGATGGAGGAGGTCAAGAAGATGATCAGCGAGCTTGCGACACAAATCAGAGATGATATGAGAGAAAGTAATAAACAATTATTGAACGAATGGAATACACAGCTAAAAGAGGAGCTTAAAACATTAAGAGAAGATTTAAAGCAAGCAAGAGATCAACTACAGGAGCAAAATCAAGAAATTAGAGATAAGTATGAAGAATGGAAGAGAGCTAAGGAAGAAATAGGAAAGAGAGTGGGTGAAGTAGAAAGTCAACTAGATCGAATGGAGAGAGAAAGAGAAGAAATAAAGTAGTGATGATGGGATTGGAAATAGAAACAGGAGAGCAGAAGTAGATAATTGGAAAGGTGACAAAATTTTTAGAAGAGAAAGTCAAAGTAGAGAGTAAAGTTAAAAGCACGTACAAAATTGCAGAAAAAGTTTATGTAGTGGAATTCGAAAACAGAGAAGAAAAAATAAATGTAATGAAAAACAAGAAGAACTTAAAAGGGTCGTCAATTTACATAAATGATGATCTGACGAAAACGGAAAAGAAAAATTCAAAACAAGATAAAAGAAGAAGCAACAAAAGAGATAAATAAAGGAAGAATGGTTAGAATGGGATATAAAAAGCTAACTGTAGACGGCAGAAATTTTAAATGGAATGAAGAAGAGGGAAGACTTAAGAAGGCAGAAAATTTTTAGTAAAAAGCCAAAAGAGAAGGAAGAAAACGAGGAAAAAGGGAAGCAAACAAGGCAAAGGAAAAGGAAAAGGAATAAAGGATGCAGATAGGGAAATCGGAAAAAGGGAAACTGGTACAAAATTAGAAGAAAAAGGGGTGAAGGTACTGTTTTGGAATGTCCAAGGGTTGCGAAAAAAGGAAAAGGAGTTCTGGGACTACGTGGGAATATTTGATGTTGTGGGGCTAGTAGAGACTTGGGTACAAAGCGAAAACTGGGAGAAATTGGAAGAGACACTACCACAAGAATATGTGTGGGAGTGTCAAGGGGCGACAAAGGAAAAGAAAAAGGGGAGAGCAAGCGGGGGAATAGTAATGGGAATTCGAAAAGAAATGCAAGAACTTGAAAAGGGAAGTAATAATAAAAATGGACTAATGAAGAAAGTAACACAGCTGGATAACAATCGATGGGAAATAATAACCGTTTATAACAAGAAAATGGAGGAAACCAAGATAAACATAGAAAAGAAAACAAAAGAAAAAGGAGATGAAAAAATACTTATAGGGGGGGATTTTAACGCAAGATTGGGCGATAAGGGGACAAGAATCATAGATAAAGAAAAGGGAGAGAAAAGAGGATCAAAAGATAAAGCAAATAACAAAGAAGGGAAAATATTGAATGGAAACAAGGAAGGAGATGAAGAAGGAGAATGGACGTACGTAGGGGCGAGGGAAGAATCAATTATAGACTATGGGATTGTCAACGAAGAGGCGTGGGAAGAAATAGAGAGTTTCAAAGTGGGGGAAAGGGTAGAATCAGACCACATGCCTCTAGAAATAAAAATCAAAGGAAAAGAGCAAGAGTACGAAAAACAAGAGAGAAGAAACGAAAGAAATGAAATAGAAAAAAGAATATGGAATGAAGAGGGAATTCAAAGATACAGAAGTGGACTAGAAAAAAAGAAATTCCAAGTAAAAGAAGATATAGAAGCTATGATGGTGGAACTGAGCAACCTAATTGTCGAAGCTACGGAAAAAAGAAAGATATACACATGGTAAGGGAGGAATAATGGATGGAACGGAGAATGTAGTGAGTTGAACAGAAAAGCAAGGGAAAAATTAAGAAAATGGAAGAATAACAAGGGAAGGAAAGAAGAGTACCTAAAAGCAAGAGAGAATTATAGGAGAAAATGGGAAGAAAGAAAAAGAGAAAAACGAGAAGAAGAAGAGAAGACAATAAAGTCCCTGAAAACAGAAGAGCAAGTATGGAGATATAAAAACAAGGAACGGAGAAGGAAGACTGAAGTTAGCGGGAAAATCAAAATACATGAATGGAAAACACACTTTATGAAATTATTGGAAGGTTGTGAGGAAAAATGCTGCAAAATAAATAAAGGAATCACAACGACGGAAGAAATGTGGAGAGGTTCGGAAATAACAAAAGATGAAATAGGAAGACAGATTGAAAAACTGAAAAGAGGAAAGGCACCAGGAGGGGATGGAATCCAGAACGAAGCGTGGATGTTCGGGACAGAAGGAGTGAAAGAAAAGATATGGGAAGTGGTAAATGGAGTTTGGAAGGGAAAAGGGTTTCCTCGGCAGTGGAGAGAAGGTATAATAATCCCATTATTTAAAAAGGGGCAAATAAGTGATGTGAAGAACTACCGAGGGATTACCTTGCTCAATACGGCGTACAAGATATATGCAATGATACTCGATGAGAGGTTACGAAAGGAGATGGAAGCAAGCGGTATATTACCAGACGGTCAGGCGGGGTTTAGGAAAGGAAGAGGTACTATGGACAATGTGTACATCCTACGGCATTTAGTGGGAGGAGAAATAAGGAAAGAGGGTAGACGAATGTACGCATTGTTCATAGATTTCAAAGCAGCGTTTGATAGTGTGAATAGAGAGAAAATGTGGGAGTATTTGAGGAGAAAGGGAGTAGATGCATACTTGGTAACGAAAATGGAAGAAATATATAAAGAAACAGTAAATACGGTGAGAGTGAATGGAATAGAGAGTGAGAGTTTTTATACAAATAGAGGAGTGAGACAAGGATGCCCACCCAGCCCCGCATTGTTTGCAGCTTATCTAGGAGATATAGATGAAATGTTCAGAAAAGCACAGACAGACAGGAGGGGTGGTAGTCGGCAAAGAGAAAGTGTGGTCGTTGCCGTACGCAGATGATTTGGTGATTGTGGCAAAGAAAAGAGAAGAAATGAAAGCAATGATTAAAAGTTTGGAGAAGTATGTAAAAAAAAAGGAATTGGAAGTGAATGTGGAAAAACAAAAATAGTGGTGTTTGGGAAGAAAGTAAGAAAGGAGAAGGAAAAGTGGGCATGGAGAGGGAAGAACATTGAACAGGTGAAAGAATTCCAGTACTTAGGATATACAATAAAGAGCAATAACTCAGATAGAGCGCATATTCAAGAAATGGTCCAAAAAGCGAACAAAGTGATAGGAGTAGTATGGGGAATAGGAGAGAGAAAACTTGGACGTAATTATAAGAGAAGAATGATGATGTTTGATAGTTTGATCAAAAGTGTATTTATGTACGGAGCGGAGGTTTGGGGATGGAGGGAATATGAAGAAATAGAGAGAGTGCAAGAAAAATACTTGAAATGGACATTGGGATTGGAAAAGTATACGCCGGGGTATATAGTGAGAGAAGAAACAAAAAGGGAAAAAATGAGAGTGGAAGCGAGTAAAAGGGCGGTTGGATTTGAAGAGAAGTTCAGTGAGAGAAGTGATTGCAAGATATTGCAAGAATGTTGGAAAGAAATAAGAAAGGAAGGGGGGAAACATGTTTGGAGCGAAAGGGACAAGTATTATGAAGGAAAGGGATATGCATGTGAAGAAATAGAGAGAATCAGAGAAATGGGAAAGGAGTGTGAAAGAAGAACTGAGTGTAAGAGATAAGGATATAGATAAGCAAGAACGTAGATCGAGAATATCGGAGTCTAGATATAATGCAGACTATAGAAAAATAGTAAAGGATGAAGTACTAAAGTACACAGAGAGAGAGAGTATAAAAGAGAAAAGAATGATGGCAAGATTTAGGTGTGGAAATGAAGAGAAAGAGAATAATTTTTGGATGAAACTGACAGCAGGTGTAGGATATGTTGGAGAGAGGGAGAAACAATAGAGCATATGCTGGAAGGATGTGAAGGATTGAGAGAATCGGAGGAAAGTAGGGAAGAAGTGCTAAACGATGATGGAAGAGGACTGGACTGGATGAAAGAAATATGGAAGATAAGGGAACTATGGCAAGGGGTGGGCAAGCAGAAAGAATAGAATATTTATTATATAACACTCGAATTTTTATTTTACTTTATTTTATTTATTTTTATTGTTAATGATTTATCTGATATAGATTAAGTTAATTTGTACCCCTACTGGGAATATTATTAAGCCTGTAAGGTAAATAATAAATTAATACTACTATAAACAAGTTAAACAGAGTAGTGTGTTTTTGTAGAATACTGCGTTCGAATCAAAGCGGTGGCGGAGTATGGGTAACTAAAGTATGAGACATTAATGCATTCAGAAGAACAAGTTTTATAAGAATTTCTAAAATAGTATATAAGGTATAATTTAAAAAAAGTTAGATGTAGACAAACACAAACAAATTACGGCGTCAAAAAATACACTGGATGTAATTTACTTTCTTACACTGTTACTGTTATTATCTGTATCTGAAAAATCAAATTTTATACTTTTTCAAAGACGCGGGTTGGGGGTACACTCCAACTTCAGGGGCGAGGGAAGTCCTTACGAAATAACCTTCGATTAATTTATTTAAGATATAAACCAAATTTGGTTAATCTATTCTGTAATTCGAGAATTATTTATGTAATAAATTTCCAACACATACCATGGATAAGCAGTCGGAAACCAATAACAGTTATTGCTGTGCCAAGGATGAAACAGATTTTAACCAGAACTTCAAAAGCCGGTCAAAAAAATACGGTTTTAAAAAGTATATATAACCTGTAGTACTTACACATTTTAACCATTCCATATATTAATTGTATTAAAAACATTGACAGACGACAGACAGACGGAAACGGGAGACCACTTTTTTTCTTATTTTAGGAGTCATGAAACGTCAAGAAAACCTGATAGTGGTAAGTTGCCTGATGAACTCCATTACAGTACTTCCCCGCTTACGCTTGGGAAATAGGTAATAGTTATAAAATAAAATAAATAAGAGGATTACGTGATAATTGATATCTATTGCTAAAGAGATGCTTTCGTCATGAAACATACCAATTCAGCAAAAATGCTATAATATACAAAACTCACTTAACATACACCGTAAAGATTTTACAAGGTGTATGTCAAGTGAGTTTTGCATAAGTCTTGTTAATGTTATTACCTAACAAAACATTTTTCTTTTTTTTTAGAATTTTTGCCACAAATGTTTTGCGTCCAGTGTCCATATTACTTTAATTATTTTCTGTGTGATATTAGATATGTAGATATAATGATCAGTTTCCTCATTATTAAATGCTAAAGTATATCCTTTTGGTTTCCTTCAGTGTTAATTTCTTCCATGTATAATAGAGAGAAATCGAACTGGATGTAATGCGAGAGCGTTCCCTTAAACCAAATCGTTCATCGTGATTTGACCACAGTTCCAGTGCACCGCAAACTCGATGACCTCCATATATTTAAACCCATCCCTTTTTATTGTAATAGAAAGGAAGTCACTCTTCTTGTCCATTCGCTTTGACGATATATCTGAGAAATGAAATGAAACAGAGATTTATTTTTTCTAGGAAATATGAAAATTGCTATTTAAAAAATATGTAAAGTTAAAGAACTTAATTTACATTATAACATTAACCATAACAGTAGAACTACTACCATTATTATTAGTACCTTGAGATGATCTGTACCTGATTGTAATTACTAAACATGACAAAAATATATTACTTTTACTCTAAGATAAGCAAATTATATTTTTAAAACAACCTTAAATAAGAATAAGGTTAACGTATTTTAACGTGACGTCATCAAGTTTTTTGGAAGGATTGAATAAATAGATTTTAATTAGTGGCTTACCATTTTCTATTACCTATCACTTCAAAAGTTTTAACGACTATTACCTAAAAATTGACATAATACCATCTTAAAATGCATAATAATGTTTGTAAATCAGGTTATAACAATAAATGATCTCACATAATATTTAATCACGAAAGTGGAAATATTATTATGTGATCATAATTTTCTTGTAAATAATTCCCACGTTCATCTTTATTAAGTCTATAACGATTTTACTGTAACGACCATAAATAAAACAAAGTACAACCCAGCCGAAAAAATAACGGAGCAACTCAAGTATAAAGTTGCAGCATGAAAGTTAAAGCAGGATATTTTAACTTTAACTACTAATCACAAACAAATATATACCCAGTGGTTAAATCAGACGCAGTTCCGTATCATTACAATATGGACTTTTTGTTTCAAAATAAGAATCCACCTCACTCACATTCCCGGAAATGTGTACATAATGGCTTTCCTGGCCTGAAATGTATAAAATAAAATAACTTATTATGTCACATGGGAACTGATCTCTCATTTTCACCCATTTTTGTAAGAGGCATTTGAAATATGATGTAAATTTCGTTCGTTTTAACTTTTCACTATTCCCATTCACTAAAATGCACCACGTTCTCAATTAATTAAAGTGTTTATTAATCAAACCTGACTCTTTGAAAGGAAGAATGTTTCAAATTGCACGCGATTCAATTAGTAACAGTTAAGTAAATTACGTTGGTTTTTAAATAAGCATTTTATTTTATTGCTTGCTTAAAACCGTGTTAAATATATTGGAAATTTAATGCGGAAACAGGCAAGTTCAAGTTCATGTTGTAGAAAACACAATAAATTTAATACAGTATTTCCGACGTATTTATTTCTGAAATTATTATTAGACACTTATTACATTTAACTGCTTCTTTTCAAGAGTACTCTGAATTTTATATGCTCGTCTTGGATGCCACTTTCTCGTGATGCAGAGTCGATAAATCTTATGCTCTTAAAAAAGCAATCGTCAATGATCATGTTAAGTTCAGTTTCTAGAATAAAATCGGTTTGCATATGTTACGTGCCACTTTTTGTCTCTAAATACATAAATTATTCATTAAAATTAATGATCCTTGTAAATCAACAGGAACAGTTTACAGTTTTGGTTATTTTTCAGAGGAAGCACAATCATCACTTACCTAACATTTACATAAAGAACGAATAAATAGGATTAATAACTTTCTATAACCGTGTAGATGATGGGTGGGCTTTTATCTCAATCTAGTTTATTAGTACCTGACGAGATTAAATCAGCTACTCTACGAAATATGATAACAATATGAAAGGATCTTAACCGAAGAAACTGTGTAATTAGTTCAACTACAACAATATTTAAGATTTTGGTAGTTGCTTTTCATTATCAAAATATTGTAATTAGTGCAGACACCAGACAAGTATTAAATCACCTGTAACTGCGGCTTACACAACTTTTCCAATAGAAAGGCAAAAAAATGATTAGCTACGCTGTTTGCATAAAATGCGTACACACAATATGTTCAAAGAGGATATTTACCACCACTAGCCATAAACAAAGCTATAAGTACTCCAGGTAAGTAGTGCAACAGAGTGAGACGCACAAAGAAGATTCTTTATTTAACCCAACTATAAATACGCTTCTATTAACAATAAAAATTTAGTATACATCGCGACTTCAACTTAAAACAAACACAATGAACTTCCTTGTAAGTGTTTTCCCAAATCGCAACTTTCCCTCTTAATTATTCCTTCTCAGTTCTTGGCAGCTCTGGTGCACTTGGCTCGTGGTGGTATTGTTAGTGAGGACCATGGTATCCAGCACCACGAAAGGGCTACTTCATACCAGAACATCCACATAGAGCATTTCCACCCCGTTCCCACCTACGTCAAGAAAGAAGACGTCCACCTACTCAAGCATCCGATATCTCTGGGAACCAGTTCTTCCAAGGTCGAAGTTCACCACGGAGACAAACACGACCACGGATACGGGTTTGCTACTTCTGATAATAATATTCACGGGCATGGTTTCGACGGATTTGATGGCTTGTCAGGTAAGGATGCGACATCTGGCCGATGCACGTAGATTTCTAATCGATATTGCACTTTCTTGGGATTTATAGCTGGTCATGAAGGTGCAGCTCAGGTCAATTACCAAGTTCACGATCAAGAAGATTATTCCCAGTATCAAGGGCAACTAGGGGATGAAGGGGCGGCGTTAGGTCACTTTCAGCTGGGTTCGAGTGTTCCAGGATATGGAAGTGTGGAAACGGGACATCTCCAATATGACAATCACGAGTCGTGATAATTTATGGTAGTTTTTCACTTTCGTTCTAATTTATTAACTTATTTGGTATGCAGAGTGACGAAAGTGAAATCTCAAATGGTCACTGTTTTCTTAATTTCTTAACGACTTTTCTTCGTTCCTGATATTTATTTTGTGTTATCTGTGCACCAGATTTTATAAATTTTATAATAAAGTTATTTTAAAAAATATCTGAGACGTTTGGTTCCAGTTCAAACAACATTTTTTTTATATAGCAAATTATGAAAAATGTCTATTTCCGGTTTCCGTCTGCCTGTCGGAGTGCGTCTGTGGCGATTTTAACTGTAATGGATTGATTATTGTCAGATTGAGGGTAGATAAAAAAAGATGAAACTTGGTCCAGAGTACCGATTATAATTTATAATAATACATATATTTATTCCCAACTCAAATTTAATAACGTCTACTCAAAAAAAATCATCGAATTGTTTATGAAAAAATATGTATTATTGAAATACAAGTGTTATAATTTAATCAAATTTTCGAAACGTTATACGAATTCAAATAGGAGAAAAATTGGTCTAAAATTATTTGGACAGAATTTCGCTCGCTCTTGAAGTATTTATAATCAAACAAAACTTATAAAATTCACTTTTGGGGAGACCTACTTTTTCATATTTTATAGATTATGCAACGTCGAAAAAAGATGAAATTAACCGTTCGCCGTATGGAACCTGTTTCAAGATTGCAATGAATTAATAATTGTATCGAATACAATTTTTTGCTTATTATGTTATCGATTTTTGACTTTCCATGCATAAACTAGGAAAGTATTTTTTTAGATGTTTCATAACCCCTGGAATTTAAAAAAATAGGTACCTTTTTTTAAAACCTCAGAACTGATTAGTTGTTGCGATGACTTCACATAGCTGTAAAGGTCGATTTATAAACTTGCCGTTGACGTTGCTGTTCGCCGTTGACGTTGCCGTTGAAAGTTGGCACGCCGTTGGGGTGACGTTCGAGGTAATCAACTTTTAAGTGGGATTTATAAACTTGCTGTTGACGTTGCTTTTAAAGCTAAAAATTGTAATTTATAAACTCCGTTGCCAAGTTGCCGTTGATAGTAACTTCGATGTTCAACTTTTGCCGTATTTAAAGGAGTTGTGGAAGAAAAGTGGGAAATTTAAGTTGATTACTACAAAAAATTACCATTTTAGACATGTTTAAAGTCTCTTGTTGTCGAAATAAGTCTACACATATTAAGAAAAAAAAGGCAAAAAGATTTTCTTATACAGGGTGACTCAAAAAAAATTAATGAATCAGTCAATCTATTTTATTGATTAAATCAAGAATTGCAAAACTGAATATTTTGAAATCTTGCAGACGTTATTGCAAGCATGGTAACTTTTAAACAAAATGTATCTGTGGGTCAACCCCAAAAAATTGATGACGTCATCTAAAAATTTTGCCGAATAAATTCTATCTAAAATGTGTAAAATATGATCAGTCTATACTTGTAATTTATCACTGCATTCATATTTTTTAGATTTACTTATACACGGTGACTGGAAAAAAAATGAATCAGTCAATTTATTTTGTTCTTGTACTATCTTGCTATTATCTAGGTATACTTTTGGGCAAAAAAACCGAGTATACTTACTAAATTAATTGGCCCTCTCTTCTATGTCGAAGAGTCAAAATTAATCAAATGTCAGTTTCTTTTAATACATTGCATGCCTTTAATGCCACTGTTACGTACTAATGGTCGAATTCTTTCGAAGCATAAACATAAACAAAACAGTTAAAGTTAAACAAGTACTTGGAATTAAGAATAGATTGTTTCCTACTGATTATCTGCTTTAAATATAATCCATATTTTCCGCATTTGTTCAGACCGTGCCCCCTTGGAATGTACACCCTCGAAGCACAGAGATTGACGGGGTGTTATTTACCCTTCTGGAGCCAGGGAACTTCTGCCGAAATAACCTTTGACCAATTTTTTAGATTTGCTTAAATATGCGCCTCAAAAAATTAATGAATAAGTCAATTTATTTTATTGCTTTGAAATTTTTGGGAATATAGTACACTGTTATTTGTAGTATTACACTGCACCAATCCAAGCTGACACACGTGTCCTTGCAAAAATGTCGATGATGTCATAATAAAATTGTGTAAAGAAAAACTCAACTCGAAAATGCTCGATATGTTTCATTGTACTGTAGGTGCGAGGGAAGTTCTGTCGAAATAATTTTCGATTAATTTTTTGTAAAGTCATTTCGACTCGTAGAGAAATAAGGATTCTGCAGTTAAGCTCCGTCCCCTTGACTCACGACGAATAAAAAGTCATCACGTAGGGTGGGTGGGCGGGGCAACATTTTACCTATTTTTCTTAGTATGTGTAGACTTATTTCGACAACAAGAAACTTAAAACATGTCTAAAATGATAAATTTTTGTAGTAATCAACTTAAATCCGCCACTTTTCTTCTAAAACCACTTTAAATACGGCAAAAATTAAACGTCAAAGTTACTATCAACGGCAACTTGGCAACGGAGTTAATAAATCCCACTTAATTCTAGAAAGCTGCAATTTTTGCTGGCGCTCGTTTAGTTTTCCTTTGTCGGTTATGGGAAATTTTTCAAATAATTCCAAAAATTTCCCATAACCGACAAAGAATTAAGAATTAACAGTTGTGTTATGAAAGAAAAAAATTTTTATAATTTAGTCAAATCTTTATTTAGAAATCAGTCTTTTGCTTCAGTTTTAGCCAGTTGGCAAACTTTTATCACACATAGACAATCACAAACATGCACAATTCCACAATTTGACAAAATTTTCCAAAAATTTTGCATGTAAAGTATTTTAGTTTAATAAACTAATCGTCAAAAAACTTAGATCTTTGAAAAACTTTGCATCACAAAATTTTTAAACGACAATAATTTTGCAGGTTACAAACATAGACAACCACAAATACAATTTCGTTTGTATCAAATATTAATAATCCAAAGTATTAGGAAAAGTTTTACTTAAGCAAATAATTTTAAATACGCAGTCTTAAAAGTAGGAGAACCTTTTCAAATATCAAATAATTTCATACTTAACAAAAAATCACAATTGGAAAATAATATATAAACATTTTGATAACGAATAAAACACTAATAAAATCATAGTACATAAAATCTAAATAGTATATCTGCCAGCAGTTAATATACGTTTCTAACACACAAAGCTAAAAAAGTATAAATACGTTTTGGTAGCTAAAAATTAGTCAAACTTACACATTCTAGGCCGACAGTACGAATTATAAAAAAACACAACAAAATCGATTATATTAAGGCCCAAGTGCATGTTCCATCATTTGCAAACATAGAGATTCTAAACTGTTTTCGATATCTGTGTTTTTCAGAATTTGTTTTTTATTTTTGTCGTTCATTTCCGTGTCTTCAAAACGCACGTGAAACTGACTTCCGTTATTGCTCTTACAATTTTCTGACGCGTGATTTTTCAACATTTCCACACCCTTTCCTACAGGGTACAACTCCTTTCTCAGTGTCACACTGCCCACTGAATGTCTGTGAGGATTAACTGCTGTGCTGTTCTTGACGTTTGGGTATGACGAACTTTTTTGTGTATGGGATTCTTGCGTGAATGCTGAGATCGGGACTTTGCACTGCCAACCGGCCCTGCAAATTTTAAATAGAAATTAATTATTATTACACCATTTAAAAATAACATCTTATGTTGGTCATACTGCTTGGGCCTTGACATTACTCTTGATATCTCTGACATAATTTGGCATTGTGCCAACCCACAAAAAGACACCATACAAGTTACTACTAAGCAGGACACTTGATCTATGCTTTTTTTAGATTTGTATTTTGTAAAGCAACCTAACCCAACATTTTATGCAGTTATGAGAAATTAATGAATTAAAGTAGAAATCTAGGCGATTCTATTATTAAATAACAAAGCTACATACCTTGAATTGTTATTATGCATCTTCTGAGGGTACATGGATACATGATTTCCTTTAGAGAGTTGTTCTTTCCACATTGATAGTCTTCTTTTTTGTTCTTCCGTAAAAGCCTCTGAAGCGTCAGACCTTTCACACAGTGTGGCAAAAAGCATTAAACATTCATCTGAGGGTTGTCTCAACATTAAAAGCTGAGTACAAACTGTAAATATTACGTTAGAATTGCTTATTTAAATAAAACAATGAACATACTTTTCCCCATTACTTTAATAAATTGTGAAGGCAAATCTTCTCCATAGGTGACTTGTACAGGTGTTTGTAGAACCCCCTTAAGTTGTTTTAAAGCAGAATTTAGATCACCCCCATTCATAACTTCAGTCTCAAGTTCAGTCAACATTGTACTCCGTTCCTTAAGCTTAGCAAGACTCAGTAGCAGCTTATGTCTGGCCCCTTTTGTAATACCGATCGCTTGTAACGTGTCTTCAGATAAATCCAACATTTGTTTATATGTGAGATTATGAAATACCCAACTATATTTATGCAGTCTCAAAGATTTCAACCAAGATAAAATACTTTTCATTGCAGGTAAATTACTTAAGATTTGTAGATCTTGTAGTCTAGTTTCTGAGCTACTTGATTGCAAACTTGATATATTTAACAATAACGATTTATCATTGGATAACGAATAACTCCTAGGTTTGGGAGGCGGCTGTGAGAGGTTCTCCTGTGACGACCACACATCTTTGCACAAGCTCAAGCTTTCGTGTGAGCTAGTCTGAGCAGGCGTTAGACTATTAGACCGTCGATTTAACCGAATCAAGTCCGTGTTTTCGGGATTGGGACTCGTAGATTCATCGCTAGATTCGTTCACTGGTGAGTGTATAAAATTCTCGGGGCTAACTCGATTTAGAACTTGTTTTAACAAATGTTTGAACGTCTTTTTGTCTTCCTTATCAAAAGCGGGATGTATAAAAACGTATGACATGATTTCAACACATTCATTGTAGATTTTGCACGGTGGCGCAATAAACTCAGACAAAACACGTCTTATTGTCACTAGGTACGAATTTGCTGCTTCTTTGTTACCTGGTCTGAGCAATGGCAGGTGTGTGAGAAGTAAAGGTAGAGCATTTTGGGGGTGTTCCATCAACAACCTCGCCACGAAAACTGAATTATTCGCATTCCTCTCCAATACCTGAGCCTCCGGAGTGTTAGCCGCCGTGATGCACTGCTCCAGCGCGTGCTGTAAAAACCGGGCATTTGCAAAGGGCAGTCCGGCCATCAAGTAATATAAGGCTACGGTCCTTTCACAACTGTCCCATTTGTGGAATTTTAATCGGATTTCGTGCAGTTGTTCGCAGAACTCGGAAAAGTCGCGTACTTGTGAAGATTCCATCGTAAAACTGCAAGCAAAAAGTTGTTTAGAAAAAAAGTACGAAAGTTTCTTAAGCACCTACCGATTCCGAAACGGTCCCGAAAATGGGGCTGCCTTTATTTTATCATCACTCGCGTGGTTGTGTGGCTATTTAAAGCTTTTTTTATGGGTAAATAATAAATGCCCATTAAAAATCCGATTTCGGATTCAGTTTCGTACACACCCAACAAGAACGAAGTTAGCTGATGTCAAAAAACATAGTGAAAAAACGCCAAGTCCCTAAAAAACGCGGCTCGGACAGTTTCAAATCGGGAAAAAAATGGATCAAATGTGACAGTGACACCTGTACTGTCGATAATTTGGCTTATCAGAAAATTCGTTATCACAGTATCAATCGTACATGTTCATCTACTCAAATAAAAACTCTTGTTTTCATTTTAATTCGTTGTGGCAATTATGAGTTACGCAGTTACGGATTTGATACAAACAATATAAACAATGACATTATTAAGATAGATGTCATATTTAAATTTTAATAAATTGTCAGTTTTGAATTTGACAATCGATAAAGTTCTACTTGTGGACTGCTTGTGGCAGTTGAAGGAATAATATCACTTACTTAAGTCATTTTAATTAACTGGATATATGTTGACTAAAAAACACATACATCTCTTCTGAAACTGAAAAAAAAACAGAATAACTTGGTCAACGCTGAATGTGTCAAAACAAAAATTTTTGATAAAGTGTAGTGATTTAATCTTATTTATTATTATTCTGATAAAGATGTTTACTCCACAATAATAACAACATTTTTACGGTGACTAATCTTATCAGTTATTTTCAGAATTTCAATATTTTTCCAGGAATGTATACCTACCCTGAACTAAAACAGTCGTTAAGTCAGCAAAGGCCGGACAAACGCAAACTGGAACCTACTTTTTCATTCTCCAGAATTTAAGTAACGTCAAAAAATATGCAATATCTCGGTTCTCTGGATGAACCATTTTACACTTTCACGTAAAAAAGAATGACAATTTTCACAACTGAAAAAAAATGGTTGAAATTTATTTCGACAAAAATTCTCAGGTGGGAGCCCCGGGAAGATTTACGATTTTTAAAAGAAAGACACTTGAAGCTCCTGAGAAAGTTTCACATTCTTAAAAAAAGACAGTTGGGACCCCCGAAAAGGTTTTACATTCTTAAAAAAGACATTTGGCGCCCCCGGGAAGGTTTTACATTTTTAAAAAAGACAGTTGGGACCCCCAAGAAGGTTTCACATTAAAAAAAGGCTTATGGGACCCCCGAGAATATTTTACATTTTTAAAAAAGACAGTTGGGACCCCCGAGAAGGACTCACATTAAAAAAAAAAGACATAAGGCGCCCCTGAGAAGATTTTGCCTTAAAAAAAAGACAGTTGGGACCCCCGAGAAGGTCTCAAATAAAAAAAAAAAAGACATAAGGCGCCCCGGAGAAGATTTTGCATTAAAAAAAAGACAGTTATTGGGACCTCCAAGAAGGTTTCACATTCTAAAAAAAACATTTGGCGCCCCTGAGAAGCTTTTACATTTGTAAAAAGACAGTTACACTTGGGACCGCTGAGAAAATTACACATTAAAAAAAAGACATTAGGGGCCCCCGAGGTTTCACATTAAAAAAAAAATTGGGGCCCCCGAAAAGTTTTTAAATTTTTAAAAAAGACAGTTGTGACTACTAAGAAAGTTTCTCATTAAAAAAAAGGCATATGGGACCCCCGAGAATATTTTACATTAAAAAAAAAACATTTGGGGCCCCCGAGAACTTTTTAAATTTTTAAAAAAGATAGGACTCCCGAGAAGGTTTCACATAAAAAAAAGACATTTGGCGCCCCCGAGAAAGTTTTACATGTTTAAAAAAGACAGTTGGGACCCCCGAAAAGGTCTCACATTAAAAAAAAGACATAAGGCGCTCCGGAGAAGATTTTGCATTAAAAAAAAGACAGTTATTGGGACCTCCAAGAAGGTTTCACATTCTAAAAATACATTTGGCGCCCCTGAGAAGATTTTACATTTGTAAAAAGACAGTCACATTTGGGACCCCCGAGAAAATTACACATTAAAAAAAAAGACATTTGGGGCCCCCGAGGTTTCACATAAAAAAAAAAAAAAATTGGGACCCCCGAAAAGTTTTTAAATTTTTAAAAAAGACAGTTGTGACTACCAAGAAGTTTTCACATTAAAAAAAGACATTTGGCGTCCCCGAAGTTTTACATTTTTTAAAAAGACAGTTGGGACCCCCAAGAAGGTTTCACATTAAAAAAGACATTTGGCGTCCTCGAAGTTTTACATTTTTTAAAAAGACAGTTGGGACCTCCGAGGTTTTACATTAAACAAAAGGTATTTGGGGCCCCCGAGAAGTTTCTAAATTTTTAAAAAAGACAGTTGGCGCCCGCGAGAAAGTTTTACAGTTTTAAAAAGACAGTTGGGACTCCCGAGAAGGTTCCACATTTACACGAAAGATATTTGGGGCCCCCGAGAAGTTTTTAAATTTTTAAAAAGAGAAGGTTTCACATAAAAAAAAAACATTTGGTTCCCCCGAAAAGATTTTGCATTTTAAAAAAAGATAGTTATTGGGACCTCCAAGAAGGTTTCACATTCTAAAAAAAACATTTGGCGCCCCTGAGAAGGTTTTACATTTTTAAAAAGACAGTCACACTTGGGACCGCCGAGAAAATTACACATTAAAAAAAAGACATTTGGGGACCCCGAGGTTTCACATTAAAAAAAAAAAAATTGGGGCACCCGAAGTTTTCAAATTTTTAAAAAAGACAGTTGCAACTCCCGAAAAGGTTTCACATAAAAAAAAGACATTTGGCGTCTCCGAAGTTTTACATTTTTAGAAAAGATAGTTGACGCTCCCGAGAAAGTTTTACATGTTTAAAAAAGACAGTTGGGACCCCAGAGAAGATTTCACATTAAAAAAAAAAAACATTTGGCGTCCCCGAGAAGATTTTGCATTTTAAAAAAAGACAGTTATTGGGACTTCCGAGAAGGTTTCACATTAAAAAAAAAGACATTTGGGGCGCCCGAGAAGGTTTTACATTTTTAAAAAGACAGTTGGGACTCCCGGAAAGGTTTCAAATAAAAAAAAACATTTGGCGCCCTCGAGGAGGTTTTACACTTTTAAAAAAGACAGTTGGGACCCCCGAGAAGATTTCACATTCTTAAAAAAGACAGTTGGCGCCCCCGAGAAAGTTTTACATGTTTAAAAAAAGACAGTTGGGACCCCCGAGAAGGTTTCACATTAAAAAAAAGAAATAAGGCGCCCCCAAGAATATTTTGCATTTTAAAAAGACAGTTATTGGGACCACCGAGAAGGTTTCACATTCTTAAAAAAGACATTTGACGCCCCCGAGAAAGTTTTACATGTTTAAAAAAAGACAGTTGGGACCCCCGAGAAGGCTTCACATTAAAAAAAAAGATAAGGCTGAGAAAATTTTACATTTTTTAAAAAGACAGTCACAGTTGGGACCGCCAAGAAAATTTCACATAAAAAAAAAGACAAGGCTGAGAAAATTTTACATTTTTTAAAATTCAATTAATTTTTGGAATCGAACGCAAGACGTCCGGTCCGCATTCCTGATTTGTAACTACTAGACCACGACTGGGATGCCTTAAGGTAATGATAAACTGTCATACCGTGAATTGTTTTTGCAAAAATTTGAACGATTAGGGAAAACTCAAAGCGGATTCGTACACCCCACTTATAAGACTACATTGCTGTATAACAGTTAAATCAAATAAACCTATAATTCTTTGAAATAACGTTATCAAATTGTTGGCAGGGATGATCAGCTAAATTTTGGTTAGTATTTAACCATCTACATGATATTTCTAATATTTGACAACAATCGGTCCGGCAGTTTCAAAGATTACGTGTCTAATAAAAATGGATTCAGACAGACTGACAGACGGAAACGGGAGACGACTTTTTTTCGTACTGTAAGGATCACGAAACTTTGAGAAAACATATAAGTGGCCATTCGTTCGATTGACCCGATTACAATACTTTCTTCGCTTACGCTTGGGAAGTAATAAAAAGAAAATAAAACTTGTTGATTAGCAACGGGACATATTCCGAACTAAAAAAAAATCTGTAGTTACGGGAAAATTTTAATAGGTCGACATGGTCCAAGTTTTTACCTTGGCACGTAAATAAAACAACCACTTCTACAAAAGAAACGCATTTAATAAGGCCAATAACACAACATGTTTTTTTAAAAATAAAAGCCTTCTGGCACTAATAATGACGTAATTATGACAGCATTGAATTAAGTGTACTAATCATAACTTCAAGCAGTAAAAATAGAAATGACAAGTTAAAACCACTCCGTCACTACAATTAGAACGATTGAGCAGCCATATCGTCTGCGCTAATCCCTAACATCGCTAAATCGTCGCTAGGGTCATTTGGTGGTAATGGGGGTGGTTGTAACGGCATAGTATGTGAAAGCGGTATATCGTCCGGTGGTGGTGGCTGAGGAGGTTGCTCTTCACATTGTGAATACTCATACATTTGCGAATAAATCATATTGTAATCCATCCCCGGAGGGTAGTATTGATTCAATACGTTATTAGGATCCATCATGGGATCGTTATACATACTTTCTAAATCTTCTTCTTCCTTCCTCTCATCTTTTTTAATTTTATCTGCGTCTTCGCTTTTACCAATTTTTGGAGCTGGTGGAGCTTTGGGGGTTTTTTCTTCGCTAATCTTCGGGGGTTCTGGAGGGTCAGGTTGGGATACAGTAGGTGGTGGGGGAACTGTAAGTGGAGGAAAACTCGATAATTTAGGGAAACACACCACATCTGGTTGAGGCAGGAATGCTCTCGCTAAGTTTCCGGGTTGGAACCGGGTTACACGCGGTATATCGTAATCTTCCTTCTTGATTTCCTTCTCCACTTTCTCTTCTATTTTCTTGTTCTTGAAGAGCGGCATCCTTCCTATAAACGGCAAACGTTTACTTGGAGGGCCTGGAGGCTTTTTCCTGTCTGGCGACGAAGTTGAATCTCTGCGTTCTTTGCTTCTGCTACGACTTCTCTTGTATTCTTGACTTTCTCTGCCGTTCTCTTTGCTGTTCTTGCGGTCTCTGCTACAATTATCATTGTTATTAAAAAAATCATTAAAAATTGATACTACGTACCTCGAGTTTTGGTTATAACGTCTTTCGTCTCTCATCGGACTCTGAGCAGGCCTTTCCGGACTTGGCGTAGGCGTCCTCCTCTTCCTATAATTCTCTCTATCCTTCGTCTTGAACCTCACCTGGCTTCTCTCCTTATCACGTATCCGCTCGTACTCCTCACGATCCCTCTCCTTCCGCTCCCTTTCGAACCGCTCTTTGGCCTCTTGCTCCTCCCGTGCCTTCCGCTCATTCATCTCTCTTTCTTCTCTCTCCTTCTCCCGCTGCCGCTTCTCCATCTCGGCGTACTTCGCTCTCTCCAGTTCTTGTTTCTGCTTCATGCGGTCTTTCAAATTATCCAACAATACTTTTTCTTTCTCCTGAGGCTCGCTCACCGTCATCCACTGATTAATCAGAGTGTCTTCGGGCTCTTTTGCCTTCTGCTGTATTTCCTTAGTTTTCTGCATTTCTTCTTTCTTCTTGTGTTCGTCAACGAGACGTTCCAACATCTCCCATTTTCCTGATAAGTCTTCGTTCATTATTGATTGCACTTTCATGTTGCGCATTACGACTCTGATGCTTTTGGATTTATCGCTTGGTTCTTCTTCTTCTGATGAAGAATCCGAAGAACTGGAACTACTGCTCGTGTCACTGGAATGTTTCCTGCGTTTTTTCGAACGCTTCTTCTTTTTCTTATCTTTACTACTTGATTCTATCGAGGAGCGCTTGCTCTTGTGGCGTCTCTTTTTCTTGTCTGAAACGTCGTCGGAATCTGACGAATGCCCGTGACGCTCGCTGCGGGCCATTGCTTTTTCGCGATCCTTCAACCACTCGATCTCCCAGTGGGGGTTTTGTTCAACGAAATTCTGAAAAACCAAAACATACATTTCATTTCAAAATTTTAATTTTATGAGTTTTTAAAATATCGGTCCATAGAAATTCCAATTGCCAATTACACCCATTTTTGGACGAAAGGTCCCACTGTTCAATCTTTTAAACACATATCAAGAGAATTAAAAAGTTCTGTGAATGAATCATTTTTTTTATTATATACAGCGCTTGTAACACACCCTACGTCAATTGGGTTTTCGAAAATTTGTTATTTATTTTAATTTATTAGTTTAGTTTCGTTTAGTTATATTCAATGCAGCATTCCTACAAGACATACTCAAAATAGACCCTGTTTTGCTGTAAACATATTTGTCAAAGAAAGTTAGGTTATAACTGAAATTTGTGACTGGTGACAAGTAGTCATCAATCATCACAACTAGGCCAACTTGATGTATGCACAATCTTTTATAATCATCTTCGATCTAACTTTTACTTTATTATTTTTTAGATTAATACATTTTAGTATTTTGGAAGGCACAAAAATTGTCTAAAAATCGCTTTACTATATGTTTATAAAAAGTCAAAGGTTATTTCGACAGAACTTCCCTCGCCCCTTAAGTGCAGCCCTACAAATCCCGCTTCTTTGAAAAATTATACATTTTTTTGCGATTTTCGTTTTCTGATAATCGGCATGTTAAAACCAGTGCCGTAAATAAATATTTTTTAGAGTTTTCAACTTTAAATTTTTCAATTTTCCAACTTTTGAATTTTTCAAATTTACTTTGCAATTTCTCGAGTTTTCAATTTATCGATTCATTAATTTTTCATTTCTTCAAATTTTTGATTTGTAATGTTTCATTTTAAATTTCTTGTTTCAGCTTTTAGATTTTACAATTTTTCGATTTGTAATTTTACGAGTTTTCAATTTTTCTGTTCTTCAATGTCCTGATTTTATAATTTTCCTTTTTTCAAAATGAAATTCTTGCAATTTTTGGATTAATAATTTTTCGATTTTTCAACTTTCAGATTTTTTTATTTCTCGTTTCTTCAATTTTTGATTTGCAATTTTTCTAGTTTTCATTTTAGAAATGTAATAATAATTATAACTTTTAAATTTTTTCATTAAGTCGATTTTTCAATTCTTCGATTTTTAACTTTTGAATTTCTCCATATTTAGTTTTTTAATTGTTCGTTCTTTCAATGTCAGAGGTTTTCGACTTTACAATTTTGACGATTCTATAATTTTTCGATTTTAAAATTTTTGGATTTTCCAATTTTTCGACTCGGTTCGTTTTTTCTTCATTCCAACTGTTCGTTTCTTCAATTCTTCGATTTGTAATTTTTCGTTTTGCCACTCGTTTTTCTCGCCATTTCAACTATTCGAATCAAGAAAATGTAAAAATCGCACATTATAAAATTGAAAAATCGAAAAAGTATAAAATGAAAACTTTGAAACATCTAAAAATTTGAAATCAAGAACATGAAAAATTGAAAAATGGAAAGATTAAAAATTTAGAAAAATCGAAAAAGTGCAAAATCGTAAAAACGAAATATTGTGATATCAAAATATTGAGAAGTAAAGAAATCGGGAAATCGAAAAATCCAAAAATTAAAAAACTGGAAAATTTAAGAATTGAAAAATCAAATATTGAAAATTTGAAAAATTTAACAAACGAAAAATTGTAATATAAATTCGAGAAAATGGAACGAAAAAAATCGGGAAAAATGAAAAATAAAAACCAAGAACTTGAAAAATTGAAAGATCAAGAAATTAAAAACAGAGAAACTGAAAAATCGAAAAATGAAAAATTATATCATTGAAAAATTGCAAAATTGAAAAAATTAAAGTAGAAACAAAGAAAAATGATAAAACCGAAACAATGAAAGGCGGAAAAATTTAAAAGAGAAAGAAAACGAAAAAACCGAAAATTGTGATTTCAAAAAATTGGTTGTTTTTCCATTAGAAAATTTTGTGATGACCTCATCAACATCTTTGCCAGATGCACTGTAATAACAATACTGTTTTCCCAAATTTTCGAGAAAAAGGAGGGAGTTGTTCTTGATTTTAATAATTTTTTTTAGTCACCCTATACCTATAAGTAATTCTAAAATCTATGAGTACACTGATAAATGACAATTATAGAATCATATTTTGCATATTTCAGAGACGATTTATTCCTATTCGATAAAATTCTGAGATGACGTCATCAATTTTTTGAGAGGGGATAAACGAAAAAACTTTGATTAACGATTTACCATGATTACGATAATCTTAAAACGTTTGTAAAATTTCAGAGCATTCGGTTGTCCTGTTTCACAGTTAAATTGTAAAATGTTATACAATTTTTGATTTTTTTTTCCAAAAATCTGAATGTCTAGATTAAAAACTGGAACTTTCGTTTCTTCAATTCTTCGATTTGCAATTTTTTGATTTTCCACTCGTTTTTCAGTTTCTCGCTTTTTCAACTTTTCGAATCAAGAAAATGGAAAAATTGAAAAATTTAAAATTGAAAAAACGAAAATTTGAAAAATGGAAAGATAAAAAATTTAGAAAAAACGAAGTATTGTAAAATCAAAATATTCAGAAGTAAAAAAATCGGAAAATCGAGAAATAAGAAAATTGAAAAATTTAATAAACGAAAACTTATAAAATCCAAATAAGCATTGAAAAAATAAGGGAAATGAAAAACGAAAAATTGTAATATAAAATTGGGAAAATGGAAATAAGAAAATCAGGAAAATGAAAAATAAAAATCAAGAACTTGAAAAAGTGAGGAAACGAAAAATCGAAAAATTGAAAAATGAAAAATTGTAATCATCGAAAAATTGCAAAATTGAAGAAATAAGTTGAAACAAAGAAAATTTATAAAACCGAAACAATAAAAAATTATAGAATATTTTGCATACTTATTTCAGAGACGATTTATTCCTATTCGACAAAATTCTGAGATGACGTCATCAATTTTTTATAAGGGGGTGGACGAATACATTTTGATTAACGATTTATGTACTATGATTACGATAATCTTAAAACGTTTGTAAAATTTCAAAGCATTCGGTTGTCCAGTTTCAAAGTTAAATTCCAAAATGTTATACAATTTTGATTTTTTTTTTCAAAAATCTGAATGTCTAGGATAAAAACTGAAACTTTCGTTTCTTCAATTCTTCGGTTTGCGATTTTTCGATTTTCCACTCTTTCTTCAGTTTCTCGCTTTTTCAACTTTTCCAATCAGGAAAATGGAAAAATCGCAAAATTATAAAATTGAAAAATCAAAATCATGAAAAATTAAAAAAACGAAATATAGTAAAAACAAAATATTGAGAACTCAGAAAGCGGAAAATAGAGAAATCAAAAAATTGCGAAAACAACGAAAAATTAGAAAATTCAAACAATGAAAAATGGAAAAATTGAAAAAATAAAGACAACGAAAAAAGGGAAAATTGTGATTTCAAAAAATTGGTTGTGAGTTTTTCCATTAGAAAATTTTATTTGTAAAATGCACTGTAATAACAGTATTGTTTTCCCAAATCTTCAAGAAAATGGAGTGAGTTGTTCTTGATTTTAATCAATACAATAAATTGCCTCATTTATTAATTATTTTTTTAGGCACCCTATATTAGTCATTCTAAAATCTATGAGTACAGTGAAAAATGACAATTATAGAATAATATTTTGCATATTTCAGCGACGATTTATTCCTATTCGACAAAATTCTGAGATGACGCCATTCTCCACTCGTTTTTCAGTCTCTTGGTTTTTCAATTTTTCGAATCAAGAAAATGGAACAATCGCAAAATTATAAAATTGAAAAATCAAAAATGAAAAAACGAAACAGTATAATAAAATAAAAACATTGAAACATCTAAAAATTTGAAACCAAGAACATGAAAAATTGAAAAAACGAAAATTTGAAAAATGGAAAAATTAAAAATTTTGAATAATCGAAAACTTATAAAATCCAAAGAAGCACTGAAAAAATAAAGGAAATGAAAAAACGAAAAATTTTAATATAAAATCAAGAACTTGAAAAATTGAGGAAACGAAAAATTGAAAAATCGAAAAATTAAAAATTGAGAAACTGAAAAATTGTATCATCGAAAAATTGCAAATCGGAAAATTGAAAAATTTAGAAGTTGAGAAATTGAAAAAAAAAGAACGAAAAAACCGAAACGTGTGATTTCAAAAAATTGGTCGTTTTTCCATTAAAAGATTTGTAAAATTTCAGAGCATTCAGTTGTCCAGTTTCAAAGTTAAATTGCAAAGTGTTATACAATTTTGATTTTTTTTTTCCAAAAATCTGAATGTTTAGGGCAAGAACTGAACACACAGATTCATAAACTACATGTGAAGGATTATCTTATCTTATAAAATTGAAATAATATTTACGAATATAAACAGGACAGACGGAAAGGGAATACCCTATTTTTTCGTACTCTAGGGGCCGGTTTATAGAACAGCGAGTTAAATATTTAATCCTCGATTAGTTTAACAGAGAATTAAAATGTGGAATATGATCCCGTGATTGGTTAAAACCTGCACGTTGCCTAGCGACGAACCTCAATTAAAAGTTAATCGCGAATTAACTTTAACTTCGCTTTCTATAAATCGGGTCTAATTAGAGTCATGAAACGTCGAGAACGTAAAAGTAGCTAAACGCTTCAAAATTTGTACTTACCGCGTAGTTTTGAAAATGTGCTTGAGACTTGAGATGATGTGACGCGCAGTGCAAGTCTCCTATCCAAGTATCACAAAGCTTACAATACCAAGCAGGCGCTGATATGAAAAATTGTAGACCTAAGGCAAAATTCAATTAACTCATTAATGTATTTCTAAACGTGGGTATTACCTCTAATTGGAATTCGCTTCTTGGGTGCTCCTTCATAACACGGTAATTCCTGTTCTGGTGGTAGCTTGTGCCAAGGCGTGTTATCACCAACGTCATTCTCTTGAATGTTATTCCTGTGTTTATCGCTCTGCAAATGCAGTAGAAAATCCTTCGCGGTTTTAGGGAATTCATCACACATTCGACACCAGTGCAATTCCGGGTCATAATGCATATAATTGTACTTGACCGACGGATCACCTGCATCAGATTTAACATGATTTTTGTGATGTGTCTTTGGCGATTCGTCCAACTGTGCCTCCAGATCAGAAATTTTGCAGCCGTCTTTAATGATACTTGAGAGCATCTCAATCACGTTATGAATTGCTTTCATTTTACTTTGAATTTCGTCCTGAAAATAAAGCACAAGTTAGTTAAATGGCTCTCCAACATATAAACGAAGCTCAAACAGAATACATACTGGCCCTGTATATCCTTCGCCTTAAAATTCTACCTTAAAATCGAAGTTTAAGCAATAAATTCAGACCGGACTTTTAAAACTACTTTACTGCGCCCTGCTGTGAAACAAAACAATATTCCAGAAACAAATTCAAAAAAGCTTACCTCAGTTTAGTATTAATGAATTATAGTTACCTGAAGTTTGACGTTCTCCTTCAGTATCAACTCCATGTCACGTTGCGACGAATTTTCAGACATAATTTCATGCTTTTGGTTGCGAAGAAGTTCAAGTTCTCTTCTCAACACGCGAGCTTTTCTTACATATTCTTCGCGCTGCTTTATCAATTGTGCATTCTGAGCCTTCCTCTCTTGCGCCACCGCTATAAAAAAAATCTCTTTATTAAATTGTCGAAACACTAACATTAAAAATTTATTTAACCGTCGTAGTAACGTTTTGTTGTTGGTCCTTTTTTTAAAATATCTGTAACGCAGAATTATTCTGTCCTACGAAAATACAGATTAGATCTTCACTTATATAAGATTACAGCAATATACAAACCTAATACAAGTCACAACTAACCTAAGCTAAGTGCAACGTGTTTTAACTCACTTGTTAAAACATGTTGCATAACATGAATTATTTGAAGACATAATTACTACAGAGCTGCAAGGGCAAGTGTGACCAAAACCGGTCAAAATTACCCTTTGAACAAGTGGTACTTCATCATAAGTGGCCAATTGCGGAAAACGCAGCTAGAAAGAAGGAATTTCTCTAATGTTGTTGTCGATGCACTAACCTTCATCTTCGTTCTTTCCTTCGAAACTGGAGCTAGTTTGCGCTGGAACCGAATTAGCGTGGTATCCTCCGACAGGAGCCCAATTGTTTTGTGGATACTCCTCACCCGGAGGCACAGGTTGAACACTCTAAAGTAAAAGAGCAATGAAACTTGTGACGTTGATCATTTTCGTACACACACTTACTGTCACCTTAATACCTCCATTGTGCAAACTAATTTACTTATTATTATTTAAATAACCTCAGATGATATTTGTTGATTTTCTGTAAAATTGGTGTCTTGTGAAATGTGCTCGACACAAACTTAACAGTAACTATGACTAGCAGGGGAAACAAGATACTTACCGTGCTCAAGTACTGATTTTGAGAGTATCCCTCATATCCATAACCTGAATTGTAGTTTTGCTGGTATTGGGGGTAGCTACTCTGGTACCCCTGACTGGAGTACTGATTTGGCTATTTTAAAAAAAATTAGTTATGCACAAAATATTAAGGAACTATTAACAGTCACAAAGCTTACGTTGTTATACATGGTGTGCGAGTTCTCCAACCACGAACAATGATCCCCGAAAAATCTCTTGTTGATTATGATTTTTGTAGGCACCGTCACGTTAAATGTGTATTGGGGTGGGCGTGAAATGCAGCCTTTGTCAGATGAACGTACTCTGCAATAACCATCAGCCATATGTAATAAATAATTTCATCTGAAATTTTTTCAAAGTTCAAAAAGACCGCCTCGTGTCAAGGAGACGCCATGAATTGCTCAATTCGTCCGCTAGCGAAATTCGCGTTGTTTTTGAATGTTTGAAGGTTGTAATTGGTGTGAAAGTGAAGCCGATACTTTCAAATGTTTGTTGTGATGTTAAATTTTTGCATAGAATGAGACTATTGTGAAAACTTACCAAAGACAACATTCTGAAACACACCAACACTGTCACCTCGTCGCTTCGCAGTTGGTAACTAAAGTTACGCTTGGGAGTAGGTGGCAGCACGGCGACTGTGATAGTGGTTACGGTAACACCTCAGAATACCTCAACAACAATAATATACGTTTCACTAATAAAAAAAAGTTCTTCATCATCATCATCATCTTCATCGTCATGTATGTTACCAGGAAAAAGTACTTCTTGATTTAAAAAAAAATCCGCTTAGACAGACATTTTTCATGAAATTGTATTGTTGGTTGCGTTTTATTTTTTTTTGACGTGGAGCTTTTCGTGAACAATTTTGTATTGTGCCGCCACAGTACTCCCCTTTCAGCGACGGAGTTGCGATACATTTGTGCGGCATCGGGCTGGAGTAGGAAGGAGATCCGTGTTGTGGTTGCTCCTACTCCACACATGGTCTTCTTGTACCATACTCCAGATCATTCTGTCATTCTCGGAACTCTGACCATGTTGATTATAATTACATTTTTAATGAGTCATTAAAATTAAACTCTATAATACCCTCTTATAGATATTTTGCTTTTTTTTTAACTAAAACTGCATACATTAAGGAAAAAACAGAGCAAAGATTAAGCCCCACCCACCCGCCCTAATCTCAGTGTGATGAATTTTTCATTCGTTGTCAAGCCGAAGGCAGTACTTAAATGTAAAGTCATATTTCTGTACAAGAAATTACGAAAACATGTTTTAAGTATTACCATATTGTTGGAAAATACATCACTTTAAAAAAAAGGGGACTGTGTAACTCCTCCCACTGATAACAACAACACGATACTTAAATATGTATGTTTCAAATGATAATTCCTTGTCGGAAAATCAGGATTTTGCAATTAAGCTCCGCCCCCGGGCTCACAGCAAATAAAAAAAATCACTACGATTGAAATGAGGGCGGGTGGGCGGGGTTTATATTTTGCTTTGTTTCTTAATTAAACCTGCATATAGTAAAGGAAAAAACAGAGCAAAGATTAAGCCCCACCCACCCGCCCTAATCTCATTTGTGATGAATTTTTCTTTCATTGTCAAACTGAGGGCGGAGCTTAAATGCAAAGTTCATATCTCTGTACAAGAAATTACGAAAACATGTTTTAAGTATGTATTACCATATTGTTGGAAAATACATCAGTTAAAAAAAGGCGACTGTGTAACTCCTCCCACTGATAACAATAACACGATACTTAAATATGTATGTTTCAAATGATAATTCCTTGTCGGAAAATCAGGATTTTGCAATTAAGCTCCGTCCCCGAGCTCACAGCAAATAAAAAAATCATTACGATTGAAATAAGGGTGGGTGGGCGGGGTTTATATTTTGCTTTGTTTCTTAATTAAACCTGCATATATTAAATGAAAAACACAGAGCAAAGATTAAGCCGCACCCGCCCGCCCTAATCTCAGTTGTGATGAATTTTTCATTCGTTGTCAAGCCGAGGGCGGTGCTTAAATGCAAAGTTCGTATTTCTGTACAAGAAATTACGAAAACATGTTTTAAGTATTACTACATTATTGGAAAATACATCATTTTCATAAAAAGGGAACTATGTAACTCCTCCCACTTATAACAATAACACGATACTTAAACAAATGTTTCAAATGATAATTCCTTGTCGGAAAATCAGGATTTTGCAATTAAGCTCCGTCCCCGAGCTCACAGCAAATAAAAAAATCACTACGATTGAAATGAGGGCAGGTGGGCGGGGTTTATATTTTGCTTTGTTTCTTAATTAAACCTGCATGTATTAAAGGAAAAACACAGAGCAACGATTAAGCTCCACCCACCCTAATCTCAATTGTGATGAATTTTTCATTCATTGTCAGGATTTTGCAATTTAGCTCCGCCCCCGGGCTCACGGCGAATAAAAAAATCACTACAATTGAGATAAGGCGGTTGGGTAGGGCTTATATTTTGTTTTATAATCTCTAGAAACATTTAAAAGCAAGGATAGTGTTGATACTGGTCCTATCTTCTAGTTTTATCTATTTATCAATTTTATAGAGGATCAAGGGTGGATACGTATCCAGTACCATTAAGTACTATATTAACTTTTAATGTTGCTTAACGAGTCTTTTAATCTTCCGTCTGAAGGTAAGCGAAGAAAAATGTTGCTGTCCCGGTGGAAATCGAACCACACATCTCCCACTTGCCGGGCGGGTGCCTTGACCACTAGATCACGAGGTCGCTTCTTGCCAACGTGTTCTTGTGCCGTCACACATCTCTAAACATTATGAAGATGATAACTTTGCTACAGAAACATGTTGAAATTTTGTGCTAAGTCAAAAGTTTTCCTGATTTTTTCCTATTGCAATAACAGGCATTTCTTGTAATCAAAAGTAGATTTTTGAATCTTTGGCAAGTTTTCTACACTGATTGAGCGATTACAGAATATATAACATTTAACAGTGTTGATCCAGTTCAAAATTAGAACAGTTCACCGTTATATCAGAACGTTCTACTTATGATACAGATTGTGATTAAATTTTAATGCTTAGAACTGCGTAGTAATCGACTTGGTAATATCGGAGATTATTTGCTAATAAAATAACTCAAAAGGTTGGCGATAGACAGTCGGAAAGGAAAAATTTGCATATTCGTATTCGACGAACTGTGAAATGGTAAGAAAACAAAAGTAAAATGCTTCTTAAATTAATATAATAATTATTAATTAATAATAAATTTTTAAATTAAAGTAACGAATTTATCAGGCCTGTGACTCAACTAGAGATGTTAAAAAAACGTTTTTTATTAAATGGGTTCGTTTTTTTTAACCGTCTTTTTTGTTTTGTTTTTGGTTTATTTTATTGTTATAAATAACTGAAAGTTTTAATTCAATAAGCAATTGAACTATATGTATATTAAGTAAATTGGCAAGTATTTGTTATTTACTAGAGTCAAGGTTTTCTTAAAAATTTCAAAAATCTTAAAATTTGTTGCCACACCATACTTGGATATAAATTTAAACTACGTGGGCCACAACGAACACGATGAGGATGGACACTTCAAGAACATCATTGACAGAACATGTTATCGTAACCTCAAATCCTCAAAATTTTTAATGTAGATGGAACAAATAATTTTTTGATTTATGGTACGATTTTATATTGATATTTTAGGTTGCAGTTGTCAGCATGGGCGAATTGGTAATATTATTATTAAAGAAATTTCTGCTCTAAAATTTCAAAATGTCTGCTCTTTCTAACAAAAATTAACACCAAACATCTGAAAACAGCATTTATAAAAAAAAAAAAACACGAAACACGTCTCATGTTTTAAAATAAAAAAAACCTTTTTCGCCAGCCGTCTTAAAAGATGTCACTTTTAACGTCAATTTTGGACGGAAAACTTGACGTTTTTGTGAGAGTAAAAAAAAGTTGCGTTACTAAAGTAACAACGTCATTTTTGCCTTTTTAATCCTAGCATTAATTTTTTTTTTTTCATCCTAGCCTTAAAAAGTTTTCAATTGTTTTATTTTGAGAATGAAATGCTATTAATATTTTCCAATTTTATTATTAACTTACATTGTTATTAATTATTTAAATTTTAAAATTAATATTGAATGTACAATAAGAACAACTGCGATTGATTTGGATTAAAGATTTTCCGTCACTATTATCATTTTTCATGCGGTCAGTAATAATATTTTGCGCTAACACTTCTACCGCTCCTGCTGTCTGGTTGGTCACAGTGTCAAAATTCAGGTTTACTGCTCCCACATTCCTACTTATTCCGTCTTCACGTGTGATCATTCTATTCGTAGTTCCACTACTTGTACCTGATTCTTCTAGGTTTACTTCGCTCACATTCCTATTCGTTGCGTCTTCATGTATTTTACTTGTGGTTTCACTACTTGTACCTGGTTCTTCCAAACGAAAAAAATTTCAAATACTTTTCCCCCATAACCGTAAATGATCTGGGTTTTTTCGTTTTGGTATCAGGAATTTTTACCAATAAACCTGCTTTAATATTTTCAATATCTTCAGTTTTTATTTGTAATAGTTCGTGAGACCGACAAGCTCCGCTAACGCCAAAGATTACAACAATCTGAAAAAAATTCGTAAAATAAATATAAGCTCTTCATTAGGTTATAAACATACTTTCATCATCAGGAATTTGAAATCCGGAGCCGTGTCTAAGAAAACTTCTATTTGTTCATTAGTTAAAACCCTTGATTTCTTTGGAACGTATCCTTCTCCTTGTTTCTTTATAAACGCTTTTAATTTTGAATACTTTCCGATTTCTATGCCATTTTTTATATTTAAAGTTGCTTTCACCATAGAATAGTGCGACCACAGTGTGGATGACTTCATTTTTGTAGCCAATTCGGAAAAATATACCAATAGGACGTTCTCAGAATAAGTTTGAATCTTTTTCCCTTCGCACCATTTGATGAAGCGGGTATACGCGCACTCATACACTTCGCGCGATTTTGTTGGTAACAAGTTCAGTACCACGTTTTGTGCTTCTTCTAGCACATCGGGAGGTAACTCTTCTTCAGGATTCATTATTAACACTGCAAACGTTTTCACAAAACAATGGTATGTAAGCAAACAAAAAAAGCCTTGACGACGTGGATACCAGACTACTTTGCAGATTGATTCATTTCTGCTCGATATTATTGTTATCAATATTTTGTATTTTTGAGATTTACTTTTTGGCTGGCGAAAAAGTAGTATGTTTCATTCGGATTAAAAGTCAGTTTTTGACTCGCAATTTTGCATCCGCTCGGCTTCGCTTCGCTCCGCCTCGCAAATGCAAAATTTGCTCGTTGCAAAAAATGGCACTTTTAATCCTAATAAAACAATCTACTATTTTTAGAACAATTAAAATAAATCTTTTTTTTATTCACTCTAGACTCTAGACTCAATGCAAAGTTCAGTTTTTCGATTAAAATTTAAAATCAGTCAACCGAAACACGTGTTTTTTAATAAGGAAACATGACAATATCATTGCATCATTAAATTAAAAAACGACAACCAGATCAGCCGTGAATTTTCTGCGAGAGATTTATTATTTTATTGCCTTTACAAGGTAAATAAGGCTTATTTATGCATTTTATTTTGGTAGGTACACGTGGGATAATACGGATCTGTACCCAAACAACCAATCACCAGCCGCCAACTCGTAATACAATTCCTGCAGGTCTGCAGTGATCAAAACAGCTGGAATTTGACAGTTTTGTGCGCAAGACGCAGAACGGGAACTTGGCACATGGAAAAACTGACGTGGACGAAGAATAGACAAAAGTAATCTATCAAATTAAAACTTGTTTATACCGTACCTAACATAGAGTCTATATGCTCACAGAATAGGTAAATATAAAAGTGCTCTTAATTATAAATATGTTTAGTCATTTTCGCCGCGTTGTACAGTTTTCTAACCTCAATTTTTTCGGCATTGTTTCACCATCAAATTTTTCTGTATGTAAAAAGTGCAAACGAACTTTATTCACACCATTTTGTTTTTTAGGATCCAAAATGAAGATCTCCGTGGGAATTTTGTGTTGCTTGGTATGTTTGTTCACATACTGTGAAAGTTTAGCAGTGATGTCAGTAGACCTGGGCACGGAGTGGATGAAAATTGGAATTGTGTCTCCAGGCGTGCCGATGGAAATCGCTTTAAATAAAGAATCCAAAAGAAAAAGCCCAGCGGTGATAAGTTTTCGCGACAACGTGAGAACCTTTGGTGAAGACGCCCAAACGATAGGTATAAGGTTTCCAAAAAATTCGTACATGTACTTGCTTGATTTGTTGGGGAAAAACATTAATCATCCCTTGGTACATTTGTACAAGCAACGTTTCCCGTACTATGAGATTGTAGAAGATAAGGAAAGAGGAACAGTTTTGTTTAAACATGAAGCAGATGTGTATTACAGCCCCGAGGAATTAATAGCACAATTATTAGCGAAAGCGAAGGAGTTTGCTGAAGCAGGCGCGAGACAACGCATTAAGGAATGTGTCATAACTGTACCAGGTTATTTCAACCAAGCGGAACGCAAAGCTTTAATACAAGCCGCTCAGTTAGCTGATCTGAAAGTTTTACAATTAATCAACGATTACACAGCTGTGGCTCTAAATTATGGAATTTTTAGGAGTAAAGATTTTAATGAGACTGCTCAGTATGTGATGTTTTACGATATGGGGGCGTCTTCCACCACCGCTACGTTAGTAAGTTATCAGACAGTGAAAACTAAAGAAAGGGGTTATGTAGAGACCCATCCACAATTATCTATTATTGGTGTTGGCTTTGACAGAACATTAGGAGGGTTAGAAATACAATTACGTTTAAGAGACCACCTTGCTGAACAATTTAATAAAGTTAAAAAAACAAAGACTAATGTTTTCGACAATCCTAGAGCCATGGCCAAATTATTCAAGGAAGCTGGGAGGGTGAAAAATGTATTATCAGCGAACGCAGAACATTACGCGCAAATTGAGGGGTTGTTGGATGAAGAAGATTTCAAAGTTCTTGTGACAAGAGAAGATTTAGAAGGTTTGATTAAAGATTTGTTTGAAAGGGTTGGTAAACCTGTGGAACAAGCACTGAAGACCGCCCACTTGACTAAAGATATCATAGGCCAAGTTGTTCTAGTAGGAGCGGGTACTAGAGTTCCTAAAGTACAAGAATTTTTACAGAAAGCTGTTGGTCAAGAGTTGGCTAAGAATTTAAACACTGATGAAGCTGCTACTATGGGCGCGGTTTATAAAGCAGCGGACTTAAGTACGGGTTTCCAGGTGAAAAAATTCTTAACAAAAGATGCTGTTGTTTATCCAATTCAAGTTGTTTTTGAACGGGAAACTTCAGAAGGAATCAGACAAGTGAAGCGTACCCTCTTTGGATTAATGAATCCATATCCCCAGAAAAAAATTATCACTTTCAACAAATATACTACAGATTTTAGTTTTTCTGTTAATTACGCTGACTTGGAATATTTACCAAGCAACGAAGTAGCAAACGTCGGTGTTGTAAATTTAACGGAAGTGAGCTTACAAGGAGTCGCGGAAGCTTTCAAGAAAAACACTGGTGATAATGTAGAAACGAAAGGAATAAAAGCCCATTTCGCTATGGACGAGTCAGGAATTTTAAATCTGATCGGCGTTGAACTCGTCGTTGAAAAAACTGTAACCGAAACTGAAGAAGAAGGAACGTTCTCGAAGCTTGGTAGTACAATAAGCAAACTCTTTGGTGGTGAAGAAAAGCCTGTCCATGAAGAACCAGAAGCAACACCAAAACCAGAAGAAACTGCCGAAGAAAAACCAAAAGAAGAACAATCTAAAGAAGAAACTAAAAATGAAACAGAAACAACTAGTAAAAATGCAACTGAAAAAGAAGGACCAAAGGAAGTTAAGCCAAAAGTGGTCACAATTAAAGAACCTATAGAATCTAAAGAAGTGTTCTTGACTGTCAACACTCTAAATAAAGAACAGTTTGATAAGTCCGTGGATAAGTTAAGCAAACTGGACAAAGCCGAAAAAGAATTAAATAGGCGAGCGACAGCTTTGAACAACTTGGAAAGTTTCGTCATAGACGTACAAAACAAACTCTATGAAGACGACTTTGTTGCCGCCGCCACTGAAGATGAAGTAAGCAAAATTAAAAACTCATGTTCGGAAGTTTCGGATTGGTTGTATGAAGACGGATCCGACGCTGACGCCGATACTTATGAAAAGAAATTAGATACTTTGAGAACTCTCACCGCCGACTTATTTAAGAGAGTTTGGGAGCATAACGAACGACCTGAAGCGTTGAACGCAATGAATAGTATGCTGAATCACTCTGTGCATTTTCTGGCTAACGCCAAGAATTTAACGAAAACCGCGAATCCAGAAAAAGATGTTTTCACAGATGTTGAGGTAGAAGCTTTAGAAAAATTAATAAAAGAAACTGAAGAGTGGAAAGACAAGATGGTTGAAGAGCAAAGCAAATTAAAGAAATTTGATCCCATTAAGTTAACAGTGAGGTCCATTACCGACAAAATGGGAGCGTTGGATAGGGAGGTTAAATATTTGGTGAACAAGATAAAGTTGTGGAGACCGAAAAAAGTTGAAAAGTCGAAAGAAGAAACGGAACCTGAAAAGAAAGAAGAATCGGAAGAAGGAAAAGTAATTGAAGAGGATGGTAAAGTGGAAGAAACAATTGAAACACCACAAACCGAAACGCCAATCAACGCGACTGAAACGGAAAAGGAGGATATCGAACCGACGAAAACTGCGGAGAGTGATGAAACTCATACAGAGCTGTAGTTAGTGTAATTATGAACAATGTAGTGGTTTATTTATGTAATTTGTTGGAACGTTTAAATGCAGCACTCTTAATGTTCATACACTTCTTTGTTCATCATATCTGTATTTAATATGAAATTTTGTGATACAGACCTACTTACCTGACTTTTGTAATTATTTTTTAATTTTGTTATGAGAGGAGATTTCAGATTGTGTCGTGTAGAAAATCATTCCAGGGTGGATTAATTTATTGTAGAAAAATTACAAATATATTTATTACTCCATAATATAGCTTTATTTTTTGTTAAAAGTAGCTGACAGTACATTTTACTTACTAGTAATGTTAGCTCAACATGTTTAAAGTCGAAGATCGACTCGTAATGGATGTATCACAATTTCTTAATTACCATAAAAATACCTCACACCGTTATTAAGTGGTAAAGTAAAAAACTACATGGCAGTTTTATTTTTACATCGTTTTGCTATAATTTATAGCAAATATCACAAGTATTACTACGTAGTATCTACTATAGCTGCTACAGCGTTTTTAAAAGCAATTAACACTGTCTTAATTCTAGTGAACTACAGTAACCAACAATTAATAAAATAGAATGGGAAAGGAATATCTTTAATAGGATTATCGCACAGAACAATTAAAATGTTGAAGATCTTAATGTGGAAGAAAAAGTTTAAATTACTACTCGTGAATTATTGTTCTTTAGAAATAAGGAACAAATCACTGTGACTGACTAGACTTTGCTTTCAAAGCATTAGTCAGAACATACGTAATTATCAGACATCATCTCTATACATCTTTTAACAATTTTTACTGAGGCAGAAAATTGTAGACACGTTCGGTAAAAGTAACTAGTTGATATTTTTGTAATAAATTTATCGTTGAAGTGTCATCCAGATTTAAAACTTGGTTGGTGTAAATTGCAGCTCAAAAATAAAAATGTCACTAGATTTAGTTACTTTTACCGAAAATAAACTGATACTAATTGACAATGTTCAAAATTGTAGAGACACCTGTGGCTTCTTCTTCTAATTCGACATAAAGTGTGTTGAGATTGCAAAAAGAGTCAATTTTGAAGTTAATAATTAGCCAGAACAAGGTTATTTATAGTAGTCAAGGAATGATGCTCAAACTCACACACAATGTATTATGAAACAAAATTTACCTTGTAATAAAGATCTCCAAGCCTGGAGATTTTCTCATCAACTTCACACGCGTCACACTTGTTTGTGCTTTTTGTAGTGTTCAGGATTTAAATTTTACAACACCGTTTCAACTAAACGTAAAATTTCACTCCAAAGTCTGAGTTTTAGTAACAACTAAAACAATTATGGCCACTGAAGTACAGTTCCAAATTTTGTGAAAATATATTAGTCTACATACTATACTTGTTGCATTTGAATAAAGTTACTTTTCAGTTATTTTTTTCTTACAGTCGATAATTATCTCGTCACCTGATCGAATGTTGTAGCTGTAGAGCTGCTTATGCGGGTACTTCATTTCCTCTGGACCCTGAGAAAACGATCTATATTGTGCGAGTTCTCAGTACAGACAATTGTAACTCACCTGCATATCTCTTAATTCCTGATCAACATAGAACAGTCGCATTTTCGCGGCACTAAATCCTGCGAAAGGTTCCAGTTTTGTTTTCAAATCAATCACTGTCCTATAAACGTCTACCGACCGAACCTCACTATTTGAACCACAAGTAAAAGTTACCTTGACTCTTTTTTCGGGTCTGAGATCAACATTTACCAAAGGATCCAGCTTACCATGGATAGCTACCAGTTCAAAATACCTACAAGGACCTATTAATTCCAAAATTAGAAAGTAAGAGGTTCAAACCTTTCTGGACGGTCACTCTCTGGTTTTTCCATATAGTATCTTATGAACGCTCTTTCCGCGTCTTCTCTTTCATCACTACCTATAGCGCCACCTCCGTTAAGAATTTCTACGTTAGGTAGACGCGCTATTAGAAGTTGTCTTCTTTCGTGTTCTGTATATTCGTTGCTTTCCCATAGCGGACAACCCTATAGATTTTTTTTTAATATACACTGCGTTTCATATAAAATGCACCACCTAGAAGGAGTAGGCGTAGAATGTAGAAATTTGGTGGAGAAGACTGTTGCATATAGACAAACAATTGATTAAAATTTGAAAGAAAAACTACTACTTGTTTAGATAATATACCGAGTGTTATTCGATTTTTAGTAATTTTTTGATTATGTTTTAAAGATACTTGAGTAAGATTCTTTTGCAATTTTACTTGACATTTGTCATTATTGTGCTTGCAAAAATGCTACGAGTTCACACACGAGGTAATTTTCAACAGATAACACCTATTGAAAGAGGGCGAATGATTGGGATGCATGAGGCTAGTTTACCATTTCGGGAAATCACCAGAAGACTCGGCCCAACGGATTCTACGATATTAAGAACAAGTCGAGAATGGAACAACGAAGAGCTACAAATGCGTCGCAGGGGTACCGACCGTTTCAGGGTCACCCAAGAACGCGAAGATCATTTGCTAAGAAGAAGTGTTATTCAGTACCCTTGGTAACCATAACGATCAGTCGGGATGGACTGGATGACAGCAATTGGGCACAGAATCCGAGGAGTACCATCTACCGCCAAATTCGTTCCTTTGGCTTGAGATCTTATCGTCCAAACTGCAAACTTCCCTTACCACAAGAACACAAAACTACCAGGCTTCACTGGTACCAAGACAGGCAGCAATGGCTGTAATAGTGGAATGTCATAATGTTTAGGAACAAGTCTAGGTCTTGTTTGTGGCACTCTGATGGACGCATACGTGTTCGAAGGCCTTGAGGCCAAAGGTAAAATCTGGAATTTGTACAGAGATGTCATATCGCTCTAACACCTGGAGTAATGATATGGGATGGTATACACATCTGTTGAAGTACTCCCTTAGTGTTCATTCCAGGCACGCTAAATGCCCGGCATTACATCGTTAACGTGTTAAATCAATTTCTTTTTCCTTATCTCTCGAACCGTCGAAGAACATCTTTTGAACAAGATAATGCGTGGCCTCATGTGGCCATATTAACTTAAAGAGTGTTTGACGAAAATAACGTCAACTTCTTACCCTGGCCTGCCCTATCACCAGATTTATCAACAATCGAAAATGTTTAGGATTTAATGCATAGAAGGCTGCGCAATTTACCACATCCTCCAAAGACTTTGGAAGAATGTCTACAACAAATTCAAAATGCCTGGAATGAGATACCCCAGCAGGCAATAGATCATCTCATTTTAAGCATGCCTAGAAGAATACAGTCTTGTATTCGTGCACGTGGAATTTTAACACATTATTAACATTTCTTGTGTTAGACATTTTATTTTTTCTTTGAAATTTTAATCAAATGTTTGTCTACGTGCAATAGTCTTCTCCACCAAATTTCAACATTCTACGCCTACTCCTTCTAGGTGGTGCATTTTATTTGAAACGCAGTGTAGTTCTAGTTTGATTACTGAGTTAGTACCTGTACACGGACACACTGAAGAGATGGAAATTTTGACAAGCGTTCAATATCGTCCCAAGTTGATAGCCGAGTCGAGTTCAGATTCAAGAATTTCAGTGCTCTGAAGCTATTATGCGGCGATTCCTCTGTATTTCCAGACTCACACTCACTTTCCGAGCGTTCATAATTTCTATTGCAGCCCGTATCACCGTTTATCTCTATATCAAGAGATTCAATTGGACAATCTGCCAAGACCAGCGACTCCAAACTAGGAAAAGCGTACCCCAATTTGCAGACCTCTTTCCACTTATCCACCGGATTCGCATTAAAATGCAATTTTTTGATTCCGTCATGCTGCTGCTTCTTTTTGTAAACAGTCCCCGGACAAAAGCACTTGGTTTCTTCGTGCTCGTTATCGTTCTTCTCGCATTCACAGCACTTCTCCTGGCTACATAAATCCACGTTATTGTAATCGTTCATACTCAAGTGTAGTTCTTCTAAACCCGGCAGATGATCGAGCATTCGCTGGACGCTCTCCCAGTCTATGTACGTGGAATTTAGGACAAGATTCCTGAGTTGTTGCCATCGCAAATTCCTGTCGACTTCCACGTTCTTCAGAGGTGTGTTCAGCTGATTGAAACTCAAATTGACGAACTTGAGACGAGGCATTTGTTGGAGGATGCCGAAAACCTGCAATTGCTTTCTTGGTGAGCGTGACAATGACAAACGCACCTTACCTCTGGCCAGTCGTTGAGTTTGTTTTTGGCGAGGTCGAGTTCTTCCACGCAAGCACATTTGGCAACTAAGGCTTCTTTTTCACCGGCAGTCGCGATATCGCAGTCGTTGAGGACTAAGAGAGAAGGAACGATGGTTCTTGGAGACTTACAAGGCACGAAAATGGCCACAGAGATGCCTTCATCTTCAGAGCCTTCGGATTCGGTGGAGCTCTCTCCGTATTTTTGCTCAAGAGCTTCGAGAAGGGAAGGCATTTTTTAACTGGAAAGTTAAATGAGAAGAGATTAAAAGGAGCCAATTCGCACCTAAATTTTTATTTTTTTGGTGATAAAATCATTCACTTTGGTGTAAATTTGGGCATAATTTGCAAGTTTCCAAGACGTATAATAGTGTTGTAAATAAAAAATTATCCCAGCGCATCCACCATAAGTAACTAATTTTAAATCGTTAAGTACAAAAGGTGTAGCTATTTGTTTCAAGGAATATGAAAAAATATTTACTCTTCATATTAAGCGTGAAATTGTAGCTTGAACTTTCAGACCATATAAAAATTAAAACTTATTAAAAATGTGTTTACCATTTCCGAATGCATACAAGAAAAATGGCAGCAAGTTTGATGTTGATGTTTCCATAAATATTTTCTCATCCATCACTAGATGGTGCTGTTGAAGTGACAGTCACAAGGTCACTAAATCTATATTATCTATATCACTTTTCAACGTGTGATGAATTTCTTATAATCTTGAATCACAAATGTATTAGACAAAATATGAATGAAAGCAGCAACTTTGCATTCTTGGTGTGGCACTAATGACGTATATAACAATAAGAAGGGTCAAGTGATCGTTATAAAAATAAATTGTATGTTAAACCCAAATTACGCAAAAATCATATACAGAACTCTGTCGCACTATATTCAATGCAAATTTTCTAATGTACACCTCCAAAGATTTATTTTGTGTCACCCTTTTCACCACGCCGCATTAGGCTTGTGGAGGCACTAAAATTACTAGTTGTGAAAGTGAAGCCTTTGTTCTTAACTGTTACCGATACGATTTTAGGTCAGAAATATAAAATTGTAAAATATCAACACGGTCGTTGGTGGGTGCAAATGAGTAGGCATTTTAAATGTCAGAATCTATTTTACTCACAAGTGCTTTTACCAACGAGTTCATTTTTACTCCAAGAGAGCGAATCTGAATGACACGCGACAAAAAATAATTGTGAGAGTTCTTCACTTTATTGACAAAGAGAATATTACATAAATGCGGACTGTTTAGAATAAAAGTGTTATCTAAACGAAACAACAGTGAACTTTGTCGTTTATTTCATTGAATGGGATGGAAAACCTCCAAATGATGTAAGAAACATAATGATAGTAGTATTGCTGAAATATTTCCACGAGGATACACGAAAAAACAAAACATTAACTGAATTTTAGATTATAATAATTACTTAATGACTATAGTTATATCTAAAAAGAGTTTTGCTTTTTTTTCTAGTTGTTGTTCAGTTTACTCAAAAAATTTGCAACTAAGACACGTTCACACGAGAAAATTCTGCCTCCGTGATTGAATTTATAGGCAGTTATTTGAACTTCATGTCAAAATTCCCGTTGTGATACGTAGGCGACAATATTGATGTTAATATTTGAATAAGTTGATTGACTGATTTCCAAAAACGATCAGCATTTAATTACACATATACTGTTACTCTTTAGTAAGAACTCACTGTCCAAATGAGATCAATAAACGCTTCGAAAAATAAAAAAACAAATACACCTTTTGTAAAACTGACTGTTATTATTAAGACTACACCTACTGATCATTTAGTTCCACAGACATGTAAAACAACACCCACACAACCAACCCGATTTCAAGTCAGCGCGTTCCGCTATAATTAAGAAACGAAATTTCTCTTATTATTAATACATATCAATTAAAAGTACGCGTGTCTTCGACCTGTATCTACTTTACTTCATCAAACCGTACTGTTGCGCATTTTTAATCAACATTCCCATGGCACAAAGCGCCAAATTTCGTAACCAAAATCGCAACATAGTCTAAAAAAAGCAAAACTGGAATTGGCACAAACTCATACATTTTCTTAACCAGCGCAACAGAGTCCAACATCCAAAAATAAGTAGCCAACACGTTTTTTAAATTGGGCCACACATGCCCACTCTGTTACGCGCACTTATCAAATATGTGTGAAGGTCGTGCAATAATTATCAGCTGGTCGATTTGATTATTAATGAGCTAGTTCTTATTCTTATCAGTTAGATGCGTCACTGTTTATGTTATATTGAGACGTAGTACCTGAACAAAACAGCTTGTTGCCATCTGTCGCAAATGTATTGGCGCAACCAGTGGCGCAACTAGGAAAATATTAGGTTTATGCGATAGGGATTTCTAGTTTATATGTGTGACGTGAAATTTGTAATCATTGTCATCGATAGATTGTTAACCATCTTAAGGAAGTAGCAAATTGTTATTAAAAATACACCCCGTAGAACAAATGTGACAGAAGTAATGTGTATACAAATCTCGTTTACTTAATTATTGACACGTGGTGAATATTAGAAACTGCGTATTTCAAGCGCGGTCTTCTTTGTAGTCGCTTCATTGCTAATTTTATATTTAAGGTCGTGAAAACCAATTTAATTAAATGGCCTGTTAATAACTCAATTTTGGTTTGAGTGATTTATTAATTTAGTTTCTCAATTTGATTAATATCATACACAGACACTGTCACCTTTGTTTTTGTTTTCTTAGCAACGCTGGAGACATCAATTTTGGGCTAATTTTTACTTGTCAAACTTACAATACAATTTACTTCCTATTCAACCCCCATTCAATAGTTAGTTTCTTTGATGAAATGTAATTTGTCTGCGTTCTACTAATATTCAAAATAAATCCTACTCAAAAGATCTAGATATATGAAAAAACGAAAGCCACTTTTTCGCCAATTTACCGGTGAAGCTTAAATTAATAATACAAATTAATCATAACGTCAGACCTTTTTAGAATTTGAGGTCTTTGAAAAATATTTATTCAACGCTTTCATTATTGACACGAACTAAAGGCGATCCCTTTGAACAATTAATTGTTTTAAGTGCCCGAAAGCATAATTAAGTGTTTTCTTTGTTCATGAACAAAAGTCACGAACTTTGGGCCCGGCTTTAAGTAGATTTTGCGTCGCCACAAACTGGACTGTTGATAACTTGAAACGGGGTTGACAGACAAGATCACCGGCAGACAGACAAGCAGACGGAAACGCTTAAAGCTTCAAAATATTGACAAACCTCGCGAAGTTAAATGCAAAAAGCATACTTTTTATAAAACTTAACAGGAAACAGCAATAACATTTAGGAATTTTAGAAAATCTAATTGGAACACTGCTTTAGTTTCCAGTTACGCCTCTGGTCGCAGTATAATTTTCTATCGCAGCTAATTTTATTGTTCGGGTCATTTTAAGTAGATGCGTAGTCCAATTTGCTTTCACTTTTTCAACCACATATCGAAATTACCGAAATTGTGTTTTAATTTCCATTTTACGGACGGTGGCCATACACATACATCCATATTTATACTTTACGTAATTAATTCCGACATGAAAGATTTTTGGCAGCGAAATAAAAGTTACAAGGACGTCTGAGTATATTCACTTTTGTTACATTAGCACACAATAATGGTATCTGAAACCTCATTTGCCTCTAAAATAAGCCGCGATCACGACTACCCACAACGAGTACGCCACTGGTAATTGCACCACGCAATAACTTCCTGGTTTTTGCAACAAAGATATCGAAATAGAAACTACTTCTTTCTTATTAAATTGGAAATGAAGCATGAAGCATTACAACCTTTTGACATTTATAGTTATTTTTATATTTAGAGGCGAAAATTTGTGTTATATTTATGTGTCGAACGCAACGTGGCACCTAGGGTCACTGTATGTATTCGATAACCCTGCAATTAATCCAACAATCAACAAAATACCCTCGCACACCTCAAGGCTATCCGATTGTCTGTTTACATAACAAACCGCTTTAGCACGAAGGCAGGCGTCCGTAGCCGAACCTGTCCACCTGCAAAACAAAGGACCCGACGTCGATATCTGGTACCTTTTTACTGCTGGATAAATCCACATAGGAAAATTGACATTCCTTCTTGGCAAGGTATATCCCTAATTGGCACTTGTTTCAGTCGCGTTTGGCCCTAAACGTGGGCGCAGTCACTCGGTTCGATTTGAAAAAAAATGGACAACGTCGATTAAATCCAGCGCAGAGCCACCACATACGAACCACATCACGTCACGGCTACGCGCTGACTGTTTTGTTGTTGTGATCAGCTGGCTAGGTGATTCCACCAGCTGATCTGGTCCTAACTCGATTCTCTCCCACTAGTCCATTGCCATTGTTTTAGCACAACGCTGATGGTAATCGATATAGCGTGATGAGAGTGGAAATTTACATGATAATGGGGATTCAGCTACGCTACCTACGTATCAACATCTACGACTCAAGTATGACTTTACCCTAATTAATTCTGCCTACATGTACACTTGAGGTCTGGAGTTCGATCAGCACGCAGAAGCTATTAAAAAGCGTGAGGTGAACACACAAAAGAGCCAGGAAGCTTAACAATGCACAATGGGGAAGCGATTACTGAAAATCGTGATTGACAGTTAACAATGATTAAAATGTCGGGTCTTGCATGTGTTGCGTAACGTGGTAGAGATACGTGGAGAAAGGAGAGTGGTGAAGGTTTTGGGGTTTTTTGGATATTTATTTTCAGGTTTCGAAAAAATCACCCAGCGCCTCCACCAAAAATAGGTCATTATTGATTAAAAATGATGGATTTTTTCACTAGTTTCTGCTACTTATTCGTTATAGGAGACTGATTGTAATATGAGACAACTATAACGGTTACATCATCTAGATAGCAACAGTTGTGTGCCTATCATATCAGTTGTCAAGTATCAAAAAACGATCTCCACATGGACAGTTTCCAACACACATTTGTGTATTTTGTTTTGGTTACTATATTTGCAAAGATTACTTGTTATTTTTTTAGTAGTTTCATCAAATTAAAAAATAAAATACAAAAAATTGCAACTGATTCAAAACTTCCAAATAAATAACAATTTCTTAGAAGTAAAAACCTTGAAATACCAAAAAGATATCAAAAGTCTCACAACAACAAGAGGACATTGTCTGTGAAATTGGGTATAATACAGAAGAACGCAGATATGAGAGTATAGCAAATAATGTGCACAGTGGAAATGCCATAACAATATAACGGTTTTTATGACTTTTTTCCTGTTTTTGTTTGTTCTGCTCAGTTATTCTAAGTAGTTCCGCTTTATTTTTTCATTAAATTTAGTCCCCTTTATTGAATTTTTGTTGATTATGCTGTATTTTACTGTTCTTAAGTTTTTTTTTTTTTGTATTAAATCAAATTCATTTTAGTCGTAACACTCTTTATTTTTTTTTCAGATGTAATGTAGACCACAATAATAATAAATAAATTTATGTTAAAATTTTAAGGTGCATAATCTGAATAAGATTCTTAAATGATTTGCACCTTAATTGTCATATTTTTGCAGTATTTTTTCTTATCAAGAAATTTGTAAACAATTTTTAAGAAGGTTGCATGATTTTCAAAATAATAGAGATAAACGTATTCATGTTCGCATGAACAACGTATTGTTGAAGATAACGTTATCATCTTCCCAGAATTTTAAGAAAATTAAATGAGCTGTTTTTAAGACAAGCTATAAAAATTATAATATCTTGTATAACCAATTGCAAAAACGATCCGTCTAATAGTTTCGGAGAATATTATTTGTGTAATAAAAATCGACACAGACAGACAGACAGACAGACAGACAGACAGACAGCCGAAAATGGAAGATCTATGTTTTCGTAGTTTAGGGGTCATGAAACGTCGAGAAAACGTGAAAGTAACCATTTGTCCGATGGAACTATTAAAACACCTCCTTAGTTTACGGTTGGGAAGTATTTAAAATAAAAACATATTACCAGAACACAAAAAATACTTCATTTCAAAGCACTTTTTGTACAATAATTATGTTCGTTTTCAGCTCCCCAACATAAACTTGGAAGTATTGTAATGCGATTCATTTGACGAACAGATAATTTCATGTTTTCGACGTTGACGTTGCCGTTGTAAGATAAATACGCTGTGTCGTTTATATCATCCGTTGACGTTGAAACACGCCGTTACGTTGCCGTTGACTTTGGGTTTTCAACCAATCAAATAGCGGTAGTGTGCAGTGCTGTTAGCTTGAAGGAAAATCCTCTGAAGTAGGGGGGACATTTTTCTGGTTGACAGGACTAATTCCACGAAAATCAAATTTTGATAGAGATAGGTCTACTAATATATAATAGCTCCCATCATTTTCAACACTGTAGCTTTCTGTGAGTAGTTATGCATTGTTATTGTTAAAAATAGTTCTCGACGTTTAAATCAACAAGATTTCTGCTGTTCGTCTCAAAACAGATTAGGTATTATAACAAATGATAACAAATGAAAAATTCATCACAATCGAGCTTGAGATGGATATGGGTGGGGCTTAATTTTTGGCTTGTTTTTATCTTAATATACATCGTATTCTTTGAACAACACGATACTCAAAAACATGGTTTTTATTGGTTGTATAGCAATAAGAATTTTACAATTAAGCTCCGCGGGAGGCTTACATTTTAACCTTTTTTTCTTAATATGTGTAGTCATCTTTTCACAACAAGCAACTTAAAACATGTTTAAAATGGTGAATTTGTACAGGGAAATATCGATTTTGCAATGACGCTCCGCCCCTCGGTCTGACAACGAATGAAAAATTCATCAGGATTGAGATCGAGACAGATGGGTGGGGCTTCTCTTCTGGTTTTCTTTTTTAATTAATACATTTAGTTTTCTTTGTATAACACGATTACTTAAGAAAAAACACATTCCGCATGGTAATTTCTCGAAGAAAAATAAGGTTTTTACAATTAAGCTCCGCCGAATAAAAAAAATCATCAAAATTGAGATAGGGCGGGTGGCCGGGGTTTATATTTCGCCTTTTTTTTTCGTAATATACATAACCATCTTTTCCCAACAAGAAACTTAGAGCATGGTTAAAATGGTACATTTACGCAAGGAAATATGGATTTTGCAATTACGTGGTGGAGCTTAATTGCAAAATCAATATTTCCTTATACAAAGTTTCCATTTTAAATATGTTTTAAGTTTCATGTTGTGAAAAGAAGTCTACATATATTAAAACAAAAAGGGAAATTGTAAGCCCGCCCACCCGCCCTATCTCAATTGTGATGATTTTAATCACGGTGAACCAAGGGGGCAGACCTTAACTGCAAAACACTTATTTCTTTACAAGAATTTAACAACATGTTTTTGCGTCTCGTGTTGTTCAAAGAATACTATATGTATTAAGAAAAAAAGGCAAAATGTAGCCCCGCCCACCCACCCCATCTCCATTGTGATCATTTTTTTTCATTCTTAGAAACTTGAAACACGTTTAAAATGGTAAATTTTTGTAAGGAAGTATGGATTTTGTAATTAGGCTCCGCCCCTAGATCTGCCACTTAATGAAAACTTCATTACTATTTAGATCAGGGCAGGTATGGGTGGGGCTTAATGTTTGGCTTTAATTTTTTCCTAATATACATTGTATTCTTTGAATAACATGATACTCAAAATCATGTCTTACGTGGTAATTTCTTGTAGAGAAATAATGAGGGCTTTGCAATTAAATTCCACTCCTTTGGCTCACGACGAATAAAAAAAAAATCATCGCAATTGAGATAGGGTGGGTGAGCGGGGCTACATTTTGCCTTTTTTTTTTAATATGTGTAGACTTATTTCGACAACAGTCTTTCTAACTTATATCCTCCTTTTTTTCTTTTACAACCCCTTTAAATACGGCAAAAGTTGAATATCAAAGTTACTACCGACGGCAACTTGGCAACGGATTTTATAAATGACAATTTTCAGCAATGTCAGCGGGAACGTTGACAGCAAGTTTATAAATCTCACTTATGTGTCTCTTAGAATATGTCTACCGTTCGTTGGCGAAATATGTATTTGAATATACAAGGTATTTTTGAATTAAAAGGAAACTTTTTTATGGTAATTGGTCATGATTTATTGAGACCATGCACAAAATTGCTCTAATAAAAATTTTTAAGTTTTCGAGATAAAATTAATTGAAATTTGCACAAAATGTTGCGCTACTGAGTTTAGGAATAGTAAGACATAAAATAAGTATTGAAAAACACGTAGGGGAAATGTGTCTGAGACGGCATACTTTTTGTAATCGCCTCATAAAAAACAATTTTAATTTATTTCACCTCGGACATTTTCTTAGTTAACACAAAACTATGTTTTGAAGCATATTTGAAACGATAACCTTTTTCGCATAAACTAATATTAACACTACGCCATCTCAACCGCACAAGCCATCTCATCTATATACTTAAGGGTGAGATGGCATACCATTAAAATTTTACAACAAAAACATTAACCAAATGTTAAAAAATAGAAAATATTTCTTAAACGTTTATTTATCAAAAAACATTAAATACACTTCCAAAAATTAAATAATTAAAGAAAACAACTTTTTGAAAAAGAAACAAAATATTAGTTAACTCTGAAAGTACAATTTTTATTATTTGCAAAGATCACAAATAAACTGTTTTGCTTTTCGAACTAAGCCCGCACATTCTGTGTGGCTCCATTTTCTGCATTTCTGACATTGAATCCACATTTCGCCACTTTTGGAAACAGTGTATAATTCATTACAAAATATACACGCTGGATCGTCTTCATCATCAGTCTCTAAACGTTAATCGTCACTTTCTCCAAAATATAAATTTTTAGTAACTCTTCGAACCGCAGTTTTCTGCGAGTTTTTCTGTTTGTTTTTTTTTTCGGATTCAACTTTTTTAACTTCCTCAAGATTTGGCGTGTCGTTTAACACACCTTGCTTGCCTTTTCTTCTTTTCTTTTTATTTTTGGCAAGTTCAGCAATAGGTAAAGGTGATATGTCTTCAATGGAAATGTCCTTATTGGGAGACTTTGTTATTTCTAGTGTTTCTGATAACTGTGACGTTGCAGATGTGCTAGGCCGAATTTGTTCAGCATTTTCAGTTCCTTGTGAGGAAGGAATCAGTACAATAAAGACATGATGGCATACCATGCCATCTCATCTTTAGATTTACTGTGCCATCTCACATAAAAGTACGTTTAAATCGAAAGTGCACCTTTAAAGAATTATCTTGAATAAAACCGTAGAATTTTATTGGCATCTTATAAGTGACTAAATTGTGGCTAAACCCACG